TATGTAGGGAAGCGTGTTTCTGCTCCACTAACGTCTTAAAGGCTATTCGTTGCTCTAACTGTAGCCTCCTTTATTTTTAGTGGACTGGTGTGGGATTTATCCTTTGTGGCGCCTAACCGTTCATACGATGGACCACGGCTACACGGCGCGTCGCGATGACAGGAGACGCCGACCAGCCCTGCAGCTGTAACGTGCTTCATACCTAACACAGTTATGCATTTCCGACTGAGGCGGAAATGTTGTAGGCCCGTGTGCTCAGATTTGGGTGCACGTTAAAGAACCCCAGGTGGTCGAAATTTCCAGTACCCTCCACTACGGCGTCTCTCATAATCATATATGGTGGTTTTGGGACGTTCAACCCCACATATCAATCAATAGCTAATACAGTTGAAACTCGACTTAACCGGATGACGAGGGCGCTCGAATTACTTCCGTCTAATCGGGAAATTCGCAAAATTCAGGAACAAGGCTTTCAGCTCTTCAAGACCGAAAACTGTGACGTAACGTCCGCCGCGGTGGTGCAGCGATTAGGGTGTTGGGATGCTAGCCCGAAGATCGCGGTGGTCGCATTTCGAAGGAGGCGATATGCACGAGACCCGTATGCTGTGCCAACGCCTCCTCTTGAAAGATGCCTGAGGAATGGTTCACGCTCCCAGCGGAGTTGACCTGCCTTCAGGTTTAAACAAGCTACGCGTGGTGGCGCTCGCGACCGACACTATCATCATGGCGACGGGCGGTACCAGCTAAGCATTTTTCATCTGCGGCCCATAGAGGCGCATCAGTCGAGCATTGTTCAAGACCTGCAACTGTGCACCACTGTTTCGGAGGCTATGCAAAGTGTTGCGTTGTTGCACCATCCGCCACAGGTGACGCTAGCGACCGAGAAAATTTTCAAAATGAAGGAGAGAAAAGGTATGGCAGCTGTTTTTTTTTTTTTTCTCATGCGGCAGGCATCTTCCTAGAGGAGGCGTTGGCAGTGCGATGTCAGCGCACGTCAAAGAACACTATGAAGGTCGAAATTCGCGGAGCCCTCTGCTACGCCATCTCTCGAAACCATATCGGGGTTTCGGGACGTAAAACCCCAGATGATATTATTACGGGGGAATAAAGTATACACTGGTGAACAAATGTGTACTGGCGAATATACTGGCGAGCTAATGCGTACGACGCTGCTGCAGTCCGAGCACGTTCCCGTTCAGCACTTCGTCGTCGTCATCCTCAGGCATCTACTTAGCCCGTGACAATATTACAATTAACGTAACGTCACCCCCAAAGCTAACGCGGCATTTTAACACTAAAAGGCCTGACCACATGTACCCGCTGCAGCGCGTCAACGAGTGGCTTAGGTACCCTATCCTGGCTTTCTGACGCAGCGTTGCGCCCTCTCTCCGGGAAGAGGGAGGGCGCGTGGATGGATGGATGGATTGATGTGGCTGTACCCCTTAGATCGGGCGGTGGCTACCGCCACCTAGCCGTAATACTTTGCGTACCAACAACTAGATTTATCTCCCCCCCCCCCCCTTTAAATAGAGAAGTTGAGGGCGCTACGCGATGCTTCGCTCTCTTTCTCTTAATAGGGAGAGGGTGTGGCGCCGCGTCAAGAAGCCACGCACTGACAGCGGCTACGTGTGGTCAGGCATCAATAGGGAGTTTTAGAATAATAGCGCACCGCGAGCCCTTGCGGTCGCTGCCACTGCGCATGCGTCGTAACGCGAGTCGCCGTTCGCGGCTCGCTTGCAGAAAATCCGAAATAGCGTGCGGCGATCGCGGCCCGATTAGCCCGCGAAGTGCTGTGTGTAGCTTCCGTGCGTTTGGGTTTGCGGTAGGGGCGAAAGTCCCCAGACTTTTCTCTGAGGGGAAGCAAACGCTATTCTGAAACTCGCATGACACCCGCAACGCCCGCAGCGCCTGCAAACGTTATTCTAAATCCCCCTATTGTACATGTCTGTTCCTGCGCAAAGTCCGCCAGAGCACGAATTCCTCCCAAGTCGACGCGATGCGGGCGAGGTATAAATGGTCACGTGATGAAGCTACGACAAGCTGCCGATTGTCAAAGGCAGGCAGAACGAATGCCGTTAATGAGCGAGCAGGCAGAGCTATAAGGCAGTTTCGAACTAGTGGTGCCAAGCATGGAAGAAACGCGAAGCTGGGCAGTCTGCTGTTTTTTTTTGTTTGTTTGTAGCCTAGAATTCATGGCTCATACCCACTCTGGAGGGATTGGCCAAGAGAACATATAGTCTCATATGGACGATAACTGCATTATTGCTTACAACAAAAAAGGAAAAAAGTTGTACAATGAAGACAGTATATTAAAAAAACAGAGATTCAGAGAGTGAGAAAAACAACAACAAGAAAGTAGACACTAATATAATAACTATACCTTGAGTTTGGGAGCCGACCAGATAGCTGAGTTTGCCAAACACGATTAATTTGGTATGGCTCAGATTTATCCACATTTAGAAAATTACTTCTCGCCTCGCTTTTTTTTGTATTTGTTAAAGTGGGCCTTATGTTGAAAAATATTTAGAGTCTTGAATGAAATTACACGCCGCATCGAATGCATCTCTGTGGCAATTTCCCAAAACAGAGGCACCAAAATTTAAAACATTTTTTGTGGTTAAATTTAAACCTAGCTTCGCAAATAGTTCTTCAGTTTCCTCCTCCTATTTCTTTCTGTATGTCTTTTCCGCTTTTTTTTCTTTTTTAAAACGCATTGGCTGGTTAGTCGGTGCGACATCATGGCGCATGGCCGTACACACCAGGTTACACGAAGAACACGGGCACCAAGGGACGACACAAGCGCTAAACTTCAACAGATATTTATTACGGGAAAGAATCGCTCAATGCGTTGTTTACACATGACGTGTGACTATATTGCAACAATAAAAAAACTAGAGCACCCTATCATGTAGCAACCTTCTTCTTCCTCTCTATTATTTTTGTTTCTATTTATATCTTCCACTTTATTCATCTATTTATTTCTCTTTATGTGTCCCATTTAATTATTTTCCTTTCTTTCTCTCTGTGTTTCTACCTTGCTTCCTCTTTAAAAAAGTTATACTTGGTTTCGCCTGTGTTGCACCAAGCGACGACAGCCCACCCGGGCCTCTAATGTTTGGATATCAGTGCCATCCGTCGCATAAATATTTAAATAACGAGAGCAAGCATCATGTAAACACCGTTTTCCTGTGGGAGTATTTACAGGGAGACAACGAGTCACAACCACCCAGCGCCATTTGATATGCAAAAGTGCTACCCAGTGCGACGTGCAGCCGCGTCAAAATAAAATTAGCGTGCTATATGCTATATAGGTGCTGTAAAGGCCTGAACACACGTAACTGAAAGCCTGACCACATGCACCCGTTGCAGCGCGCGGAATTTGGAAGCAGCGTCGCGCCCTTTCCCTAGGGAGAGAGTGGGTGCGCAGCTTCGCATAGCAACGCGCTCTCTCTTCCCATAGGGAAAGGGCGCGGCGCCGCGACAGAAAGCTCAAGCAGCGTCGCGCCCTTTCCCTAGGGAGAGAGTGAGTGCGCAGCGTCGCATAGCAACGCGCTCCCTCTCCCCATAGGAAAAGGGCGCGGCGCCGCGGCAGAAAGCTCAAGCAGCGTCGCGCCCTTTCCCTAGGGAGAGAGTGGGTGCGCAGCTTCGCATAGCAACGCGCTCTCTCTCCCCATAGGGAAAGGGCGCGGCGCCGCGGCAGAAAGCTCCGCGCTGGCGCTCTCTAACGGGCACGTGTGGTTAAGGCCCTCGTTGCAGCGTGTCAACATGTGTCTTTCTGACGCGGCGCCCTTTCCCTTTGTTGAAAGAGGGCGCGGCGCCACAAAGCCACGCGCTGACGCGCTGCAACGTGTGCGCTTTACAGCGCACGTTTGAAGGAGAGCCGTCTGTGTGAAAATTGGAAAGCAATTATTGCCTTTATTGCTCTCATTTACCTTTGGAGAAACTTCGTAACAGCGATTTCTGTGCCACGAAAGCTTCGTGAATTTCAGTTGATGAAAACGTTGAACCCTATAGAGGTACCTCACGCACAAGACATGTTCAGCTGTCGCGGGGGTGCCGCAGGCCTCACAATTGGGGCTGTCTGCACGGCCTATAAGATTTAGGTAACGACGAGTGATTGCAACAACTATTCGTAACCGCAACATGTCTTCTGCGTCGGTCCACGATATATCTCGCAAAAAAAGTTCGATGGCCACCCACTTGATGAAAGCTGCAAAGCAGCAATTGAGTTTGAAAAACTTCTGTTGGAACCACCACATCAGCGCCATATTCTGAAGGTGCTGACAAAGTTTGCTCGAGAGACAGAGCTGGGCAAGAGAACTACCTCATCAGCACCATATTCTGAAGGTGCTGAGAAAGTTTTTTTTCGAGAGACAGAACTCGACAAGAGAGTATAAATTGATGCAAGGTTTTGCTAGATCGCCACCTTTCTCATCATCACCAGCAACATCTCCTCTCCCTCCTTTCTTTTCCACCCCTCCCATTTCCTGACGCTGTGTAGCAGGAAAGAAAATGAATTCAGGCCGACCTCTCAGCTTCCATTATCTAAACATTCGTAAAATCGGATTTCGTTAGATCGAGTTTTTAACTAGTACTAAGGTTCGCCTGACCAAGCGTTGGTTCACTACCTCGTAGTATCACGTGTGCATTATTTGCGTGTGCATTTTCTTAGCAATTATTATTACTACCACCACACTAATAATAATAATAATAATAATAATAATAATAATAATAATAATAATAATAATAATGATAATAATAATAATAATAATAATAATAATGTGAAGGCGTGGTTCATTGCCTGTGCCTCAGTAGCGAGCGTGGGATCTGAACCCAAGACCTTGGTGGAGCACACAAAATAAAGCGAAAGTGCCACTACATTCAAGTTGACAAAGCTTGGGATTAAACACTAAGCCAGTGCATGATAGTTACTTTCACTCGAAAAAAGAAACACTCAGACCTCTTGAGATATAAAAGCGTACGTCTCCTTACGCACTCACCTCTACTGGCTGATCGAGTATCACATTCGTCCTATAGCTGCTTGTGCTGCCGCCTATTGAAAGCGGCTGCGGTGAGCTCTGCCGCCGCCACCAGGGCCCCGAGCAGGTTGGAGGCGCACAGTGGCACGTCTCCTCCGAGGGCCCCGTACGCCGACCAGAGACCGCACGCCGCCAGCGCCCAGGCGGCGAGCTCGGGCAGCGGTTCCGTCCGGATGCGGGACACCGGCGCCGCGTTGCAGGCCACCGTGTAGAGAGACGCGACGCGGCCCAACCACACGACGCTCATCATGGGGGCTGTCAACTGGAGCGCGCCGAGCGCCGCCAGCAGAAGCCAACCGGGTCCGCTGTTGCGCGCGTAGGCTCGATGCACGGCGGCGTTGATGAGCATCAGGGGCAGACCGCACGCGTTCACCCACACGACGGTGAATTCCCGGGCGGCACGACCGTAGAGGAGCCACGAGTGGCAGCAGACCGCGGCCGCGGCCACGGGCGCGAACGCGATTCCCGCCGAGGACGCGGCGCGCCGCACTCGCCAGGCGAGAGACAGTCCGCCCACGAAGCTCGCCAGAGTCACAACGCCGGCGACCGCGCCGACCCACTCTCGCGTTGCCTCCATTCGTGTCAGGTATAGAAATAAACGACGCGCGCCGGCCGCTGTGGATGCGACCGCGCGCGCTTATCGACACGATTATCCTCTCACTCCCGGGACGATGCGACGCGGCCCCGGGAAAGTGCGCGGGGACCTCTCCAAGGTCGCGACTCCGAGAAGCCTGCGCCGCGCGGTCGACGCTGCGCTCGTCCCAAGCGCGCCTCGAGCGCTGACGCGAAGTGCATCCACAGAGCACGTGCAATGCGCCCCAGCTACCGGCGGCTTTTATTTTGTTTCATTAATTTGCTCGCGGCGGTGTATTTCGCGCGGGAGACCCACGCACATTTCGCCGTGGAAATGCGCGAAGCTTGGTGATTAATCAATTTTCCATGTCTAGTTCATAACAGCTTCAGCGTACTCTTCAGTTTAACTACGGCAGCTGCTACTGCCAAGACGCTGCTGCAGCGGCAATTAATTGACCTAAAAGCATGCGGGGTGAAAGTGGAGTAACGTACGGGGTCATGTGTTTGCTTTCTTCCGAAAGGACGTCACAAGCACACTAGCTCGGCACAGCGGATACACGTTGTTTGAATGCGAGCTTACAATTTTCGCGGGGTAGGCGTATCAGCTTCGTTTTGGCACGAGAAATCAGATAAATATTATCAATTTGGAGGAGTAGTTGTACCGTTGCACCAGCGAACGTCATTTTACAACTTTGACAATGAACCGAAACTAATTCGTGCGCGCTAACGCCCTCTTTACAGCGTAAAAAACGCTAACACAGAAAATCGAATGTGAATAATAACTATTTACACCAATACACAGTGCTTAGGATTTACTTCGCTTTGTGCGAAAAATTAACATGGCCTGCTTTTATAGAGTTTATGCGGTTAATTATAAAGTTGATGAAGACTGTGGCGGCGAGCCAAACGCAGCCAAGCAGAGCCACCGGCGACCATTGCCATGCGTCGCTCGGGCGCGCGCTGCTTGTCGTTCGAAAGAACGCCTATATTGAATGCCGGGGTTTCCAGCTAAGTGTATCGAGCCGCGCTGTGTTACGTTTCACAGTAATTCCACGTTTCTTTCTGTTTGAAGCATGGATCTTGTGCGGAAGGCTCCGGGTTACCTTTGCCTCCTGTACCTCGTTCTGAGCGTGACTGAAGAGGCTAGACTGAACGTGCCTAGGCTTCTACTGCCGCGCCTCGTCGAAGTCGCCTCTAATTTCTCTCTGCACTTAGTGGATGTGGATAAGCGCAGCTGCTTTGAATGGTACGTATGTGCTCATTGTCGTAATTGCTTTCGTTCTCTTAGACGTATCCTACTACGGCCGACGCACCTTTGGCGTTATTGGGACATGTGTGTTTGGAACGTCATTGCTTGTTGTACACACGTAGCTAGGTGACTCTAACCGTGACCTGGGCGTGAAAGTTTGCGTTAAAGTCATAGTGGTCACCATCTGCAGCAGGTAAAGGTAAGTAGTAAACGTCATAGCACAGATTTGCCTTGATGCTCAAGGCGAATCCCCAGAAAGCTGTTCTTGAAACGGCGCTAGCGTTGCATTTTTACTTTCCAGTGTTCGTGAACGTCTGAAATGGGCCCAGAAGAGGGTCCTTTACTTCAGTGAAGCGATGGTGACGCGAATGGGCAAGGAACGCAAGAAGTTGAAAAATAAACTTGCTGTCTGCGGTTTTCGTCTCTGTCGCGGGGAGTTTATAGACTTTCCGACAACTCGGCTACATACAAGGACATGCGTTGGAACTTCTCACATAAGGCTGGTGAACCGGCTCTCAAGTTTTAGTGAGAAAAAGTTTAGTGACCTAGTGGGGCAGTTATGCTACTGGTGGTTATGCCTTTGGAGGATATTGCCCTTTTGTGACGTATTTTTTGTTTGCAGTCACCGTCAATGACATGGTTTTAGTATGTATGCATTCTATACATCCAACAGTGGCTCTATTAAGGCTCTTATATAGCCCTATTGTATACATACTTTGCGGCACATATCATTGAAAGCTAATCACTTAATTAGCACTCTTTCTATCTATATCTTCCCCTTGGGCATACAAGAGTGTGAAATAATAATTAAGAAAAAGAAGAAGATCGGGCTTTAGGTTCTCCTTTAGTGACATGTAAACTTAGTAGTGGGCTGTGCTTTCACAAGCACAAGCCATGCAAAGACCAGCTGTACACCAGGCTGCCTAGCAAGAAACTAAATCCAAGGATTTCGCAGCAACCGAATATATAAAGAGCTGGAAGCAGTTGTATGAACTGTTGGCACATGCACACTCTACAAACTGCACTGCCTAAGTGACCTAAAGCGCATTGACAGCATGCCATGTCATCCTAAACTGATTTGCATTTTCCTAACTCCCTGTTTAAGAACATCGTATGGTTTGTTTCTCTTTTCACAAAATTTTTAAGGCAGTTTAGCGATTGTATTGCTACCACTTCTCTCTGTGTGCAGGCACTCCAGCAGACCCGAGGTGGCCACAGTGTCTGTGCAGGACAGCTGCTCCCAGACAGCAACTGTGTCTGCAATATGGAGCCAGCCTGGTCGACAGACAGCTACAGTGTTAGCACGCGAGACGAGTGAGTGCACACTCCTCTCTGCCTTCTCTCTTGTTGCACTCACCCACTGTGAGAATGATAGATGTTTGCAAAAGGCAATGGTTAACGGCAAGAGACACGATAAAGTTGCATTTCCTTGAGTGTAGAGGTGGACGGGCTATTGGTCAATGGTTCAGCAGAAACATGAGTGTCCCTAGTATAATTTGTAGTTGCAGTCATGACATGGAACATCTCATAGAGTGTCGTTTCGGTAGTATCGGACTGACATTGTATGCTGCTTTAGACCTATTGAACTGTAGAACATTTACCAAAAAGAAAAAAAAGAAAGTGCTGGGGGGATACATTGTATCGTAATCTGCACTGCAGGCCTTAAAGAAAAAATCTGGCGTTTTTTCGATATTCACCAATTTCAATAAAACTTTGAAGATGTGTTCTCGTCAGTACTGTGGTGATAAGTGCCAAATTATATAAATATAAGTTAGCGTTTTAGAAAACAAATTTTAAAGTTTGTAGCTGATTCTGGAATCACACTTATAAATACGAGCCACCCTGAGTATGTAAAAGCCACCCTGAGTATGTAAAACCCCGCCTTTCACAGCAGACGGATGCAGCACGCGCTTCTTTTACGAGGCGACGACGACGCGAGCACAGTCCAGTTTTGTCAGCTGCATCCAGTGTATAAGTCGTCGTTGACGTCAGGTATTACAATGTTGAGCAACGAAGAAATCGGTTCGGGGTATGTCAGATGCTTCACACGCTGGCTGGCCGAAATCAAAAAGCAATGCTTCCACGCTCATATAGTAGCTGCAGTCATCGCTGAACTTATGACTGTTAAGTTCAGATGAGCTGGCGCAGCTTGATTCTGCGTCGGATGACATCGCCGATTCGCTTTGCACGCGTCACAAGAAGCGCGCGAGCTATGTTTACACCCTGACCAGCCGTGGCGGTTCTCATGTAGTGGGTCTCGTGACGTCATCGGATACCCACCATGGATGATAGAGCAGCTCCCTGTTTCGGTTTCTCTTTTGACTTGTCGTTTACACCTTAATTAAAATATTGATGAGTGCCTGGGCAAAAATGCACCACCCTACCCTTTGCAGGACTGTAAATATTATTTGAAAACAGTATTATCTCAGTATGGTTGAAAAAGCACCAGAGTTCCCCTTTAAGGGCGGTCACGTACCACCTCTTCGACTTGTTAAGAAAACGTGTCCTTTGGGTAGCCAAAACTGCTGTGAACGTCTTCACCAAAGCTTGCAGTCATACTTTAGAAAGGATTGTCTAACGTATAGCATGAAGTTGTCATTTTCTCAGGTGCCCTCTTTTCGTATAAAAGCTCATTCTCACTCGCTTTAGAGTGGCCAGCGCTTGCTGTTTGATGTTGAATGTCCGTCAGCATTCTCTTGGCGAACAACCGGCATTAATCAATGACAGTGCCTGGATCGGATGTACTTCTTGCTACAGGGTGCTGTGGTGTTTTATAGTCGGAACATTACAGAGTGAGCCATGCTTGTGTACAACAACCAAAACGGGAGAGAGAGTGACCGAGTTTGGTAACGCACACTTAAGATCATGACCTGTGTAGACGTAAATTATTTCCCCGTGCCACCTATCCCTGTACTGCGTCCGGCAGGCCCATTGTGAAGAGAGGAGAGAAAGGGCTGAAACGCATGAAAAAGCCATGTAACTTCACCCGTTCTACGGATTCAAGAAACTTCTGCAGCGACTGGTTCGTGACCCAATAAACTGGAATATTGAGGTCATTAAATGATTGCTCGGAAAGGTGGATCACTTTGCCTTTAAGAGCACCACTGCACACTCTGATCTATCGTTGTCTTTGATAGCATGGTGAATGCTGAATCATATGCATTTACGTATTATGCTTACTCCATTATTTCATTATGCCACCCACTTTGCCCTAACCCATTGTGCAACGAAGGTCAGGTACAGCCAGGTTAACCTCCCTGCCTCCTCTTAGTTTGTTTTCTTCTCTCTCCCTCTCGACAAAAAGTTTACCTAAACAAGACAATAGACCCATGCACCGTCATTTTTTGTATAACTCTAAATATAGGTGAAAAGTTCTTGCATGAAAGTTTTCTTGCATACATATGATGACTGGATTCATTCTTACCTCGTGTATTGCGTTTTCTTCGTGCTGGTCTCTTACAAGAGATGAAAATCCAAACCATGACACTAACTTTTACTCTTGAGTTGTTTGAATATGGATTGCATATAATGAGACAATCATAGTTTGTACAATACCTGCTTTATTGAGGGACAGTTGAATCCATTTTAGGAGACACTGATGTAACAGACAGTTGGGTAAAAGAGAGACCACCAGTCTTCACTGAAACAGGGATTTCATCATAAAGCGAGAACGTAGCCTTATAAAACACCTTGTATAAGAGACAATACTACTCCCCTGTGTGAGTCGACACATTTCTGCTCATCTGAAAAACCGGGTGCAGTGCATGAATGAGGGTGGGGATATGGGCTTGTTGGTATGGTAGCATGATAATGTAAAGTAGCGCAGACAAAGGACACGGACAAAAGAAGACACAGACAAGAGAAGGTGTTGTCTTGAATGTGCCTTCTCTTGTCCATGTCCTTTGTCTGTGCTATCATATATTATCAGTGCATGAAAATACTTTTTCTTGGCAGCCCACCTAAAAAGAAGTGATTGATAGTTCCATATCTGTATGACATAAGTTCATGATTGATGTAGTATTCAGGGAAAAAAGAACTGTAGACTAGAACCATCTGACATTTTGTTAGTTTGGCCTATTTACGCTCCTCAGCAAGGTGATACTTAGAACCACAGGAATAAATATTGTAGCGTAGCCTGTTGCAAACTATTGCTACTGTCTATAATGATTGTATTGTGCAAGACGCCGTACAACTGGCAGTGCTATGGGACTCAGTTTTGACACTGGTTTAACGAGAAGGCAGAGGAGCCTAAATGCCACATCCAAGAAGCCTTGTAATTTGAAATCGGCCCGTAGTAGTCACACCTGGATGAATCAGTAACGCTTGCTGGTAAGCAATACTATCTTCAATAACATTTCCGCATTTCGTGCAGGCACTGGCGAGACGCTGCGCTGTGATGTCATCATCGACCAGGTTGCCTCTCTCAAAGTGGTGACCACGACACGGGTGCTTCTCCTCGAGGACTCGCCCGAGCTCCTGGAAGTCCAGGGCTTTAACCAACAAGGTGCCGGCACTGTACAGTTTTATTTAATGTGAATAGCATTGCTAGTCTTTTTCGACCATTCCGTGACAGGTGGACTTTTTCTCCCTCATACAGAGGTACCTAACTACCTTATTTACTCGCACATCATTATCTTCACAGCAGGGCAGAGCCCTCTCCCACGTTTTGCTCCTGAATACGCCCACAGCAGGGTAAAGCCTTTCACGTGTTTCGCCCATCAACTCAGTCCTGTGCTTGTTGTGGCCATGTTATCCCCACATACTTCTTTATCTCATCTACTTACCTGACTCTCTGCCTCCCTTTTGCACACTTCGCTTCTGTTGTAATTCAGTCTGTTACTATAAATTATTAGCGGTTCTCTAGCTTTTCCCTCTGCATGCCTTGCCCATGCCCGTTTCTTTTCGATTTCAACTGAGATATCCTTAAAGAGAAGCTGAAGCATTTAAAGAAAAAAATTACTCTTGACTGTGTCAGGACAGTTCTACTTTTGGCTTATGTAATAAAGAAAATATTGGGCACAATAATTACTTCGGTATTAAAGATCTAGTGTAACTTTCTAACAAATTCAGTTTTCCCCGCCACACGGAAAGAGTCAAGGCAACATGAAAGAGCATTGCCTTTGCTGAGTAGCTGCACCACAAACGCTAGCTTAATGTATCCTTTCCATCGAATATGTGCGTTCAAGTGCTGCATCATTTGAAGTGAATGACTTCTATAGGCTTTAGGCAACATTTACTTGGTTTGACAACTGTTTGTTTTGTAAACAGAAGATTGTGGCAATGCTTTTTTTTCTCTGGTTACTTCTTTCAGGGGACACATTCTCCTCCATTGAGGGCATGTCCTTTGACTGGAGCCTACAACAGTACGAGCCCGTCCTCAGGTCAGTGCTGGTTGAAGAGACACTCAGTTGAAATAAAGGTTTCAGTAAGAGCCTGTCCTTAGGCAAGTGTGTGGGAAAGGGACAGTCAATTTATATAAAGGATACAGGTGCTGAGACCATGGAGGTTGGTTTTAATGTTAAATTCCAATGGCAGATTCGTAGTGGCCAACAAACTCTGCGCCCGAGCGCTGCAAAGGAAATCTGCCGCTGGAACACAAGCACTTTTGCCAGAGCCAATAGCAGACTGTGCTAGTGCACACCCACTTCATGAAGTTCTCAACATTCCTTGCGTAAAAGCAGTTTGACGCTGCGATGCACCGCTCATTATCGCTTGCAAGCCATGTTTCGCCGTCATGGGGGCTTGCGGAGAAAGCGGGCGCTCTTGGGCAGGGCGTTGTATCAGTCACTTGGTATACCACGCTATGTGCATGTGCGATGCACTTGCGATATTTGGGCTGAATCCACGGATTTTAGACAATTAAAGAGTTTCTCCATGGAGTGAATTTCGCAGCAGAGCTGGTCTGGGTCTGCCAATGAAACATACAGGAGGAACTATCAGTTTATCAATGCATTGTTATTGATCTGCTTGGAGCAGAAAATCTTATACTGAAAGGTAGTGCTTTCAATCATTTTCTACGTACATACTTATACATATCCTGGACATGACGGTAACGGCGAAAATCACCATAAAGTGTCCATATAATTGGTATCGCAATGAAAGGGAAATATTGCTCGAGATTTTACGATACTGGTATTTTTCGCTATAAACCCCAGATTGTTGGGTGACAGTGTCATGACGCCTTTGATCAAGCCTGCTCAGTGTCTCCTCATTATGATGGTGGTTCCTCATTGACTAGAGCTAGTGAAGTGACGAGTTCCACTTTGACACAGGTTCGTGCCAGCGTCGGAGTGGCCGTATGAGCTGCCAAGTCCCGGACTGCTTCTCTGGGAATCGAAGGGCCGTCGTGGCTGGGCAGTGCTTCTCGAGGGCAGGGCGGCAGGCACGGCGCGGGTGTCAGTGCGACCCATGCACTCGGCCTACAAGGACTTGGCACCTCAGGAACTGGAGCTTCGGGTTGTGGACAGTGTCCAGCTCGAACCTTCGGCCGTGTACCTTCTGCCCGGCTGCCAGGCCTGCTTCAGGCTGCAGCGGCTGATGCAGGGACGCCCACCCAGCCGTCAGTACCTATACGGCATTCAGTTGCAACAGTTTTGTGTTAGAACAATGGAACGGCAAATAGTGAATTTGAGGTTTGAAGTGAATTGCGATTTGGTTAAATAATGTTGAATCAGATACTAATTTGAATGTTTTAATCACATGTTGTAAAGGAAAATGGGGCATTTCTGTCATGGTCAAACTTGCATTAAATTTTTAAAAGTTTGAACTAGGCGTGTGCAGATGTGACTTTTTCTTTTGTTTGAAGTTAATAATAATAATGATATATGGGGCTTTACGTCCCAAAATCATGATAGGATTATGAGAGAGGCCATAGTGGAGGGCTCTGGAAATTTTGACCATCTGGTATATTTCGTTTCAAGTAAAGTGCATGCAACCTTGAATTTAAAATTAGAATAGCAGAATGGTAAAGATACAAACGGTAAAATATGTTGCACTTTAAAATGCGCAATACTTAGTGTATATAAGGCGGTGTAACAAGCTTTTCAACTTAAAAAAAAAATGATTATTCGAGGGAACGATCTTATCGTGTTTTCTTGCATGTAACCTGATCCCGCACCTTTACCTCGACAAAAAGAAAAAAATTGCGTATTACCAGCACACCCTCTTTTTAAGCTCATTTTTTTTTCCTGATTAGTTTGGTGCAGGTTATAGGTCACAGGAATAGTGAATTTCAGGTTTGAAGCGAATTCGAAGCAAGTAGCGATTTTGGTCGAATAATTTCGAATCAAGTTTGAATAGCATTTATACCACATATTATAAAAAAAAAATCGGCATATTTGTCATGACCTAGCAAACCTGCACAATATGAGGGAAGGCTTATGCAAATACAATTTTTTTGCATCAAAGCGACAACAACTTTGAATAGTAGCATAATTCGACTTTCGCTAGAATGCAAGTGATAGCCTGTAAAATATGTTACTTTTTAAAATTTGCTACACTTTAGGTAGGTATACTAAGCTTTTAAACTTGAAAAAGGAATCGATGTCAGGGCAATATCCTCATTCAACCTTGAAGTAAAGCTTCGCGGCAGTGCGAGTTTCCCCTGGATAAGTGTTTTTACTGCATAGCACTGCTTCACAGCAGTGAAATTACCTTTGCAAGTTGATACATGCAGATTAATAAGCAGCTATTCGTTTGTTTTAAATAATTCGAAATTTTCAATATTTTAAATTCGGCTTGAAGTAAATTCGAATACTGCATTATCCTTTCGGATATTCGAAGCATTCTAATATTCGCACGATCCTAATAAATGCGGTATGTACATACATTTGGCTTGAAGTGTGAGTTTATGGCTGGCTGCATGCACCAAAATAAACCCTAATTTGTTCATTTCGAACTATTGAAGTTTGTAGTTGAAACATTGTAGTTGAAGAAAAGTTTTGCAAGCATTCAGGCCAAAGAGAGTTGACTGTTTAGTGTGCTTGCTGTGCTATGTAAGCTTTCTGCGTATCTCTGAAAAACTGCCTTGGCATATTCAGTGTCCTTGCTCCAAAGTGTGCTAGCATATTACAAAAGAAAAGGAAGAGGTTGAAGTGTGCGACAAATATCTGTAACTCCGCTAGTACTTGGTGAATTCAAAAAGTGTTTGTGGTGATTAATTTGTGGAGCAGTAAGCAGTTTAGCTGTAGAGAGTGGCAGCGGTGGTGCCAAAGGGAATATAGTGCCATTTCCGGCCTCCAATTTGAGCAGAAAGTCCGAAGCATCATATGTCAAAGATTTCTGACATCTTTCATTTCAGACGTTCGTAAAAGTTGACTCTATAGGCCTTCCGGTGGTGCTGTAGAAGCATCCGAATTTTGGAGCACATGCGACAGCCGGGCGCCTTGAATGTTTACAGTTGACTGTACAAGAAGTCAGGGTCGTTACTCGTTAGAAATTTCGTAAATCCAAAAGAAATGGTAAACATATATGCAGGATACCTGTGAAATTCAGCAATGTTATCCCCGAGTGGATTGTTTATGCATCCGCTGGCAGTGTAGAGTGTAAACCTGTGTGCATGTTTGCAGCTGTGGCACCATCGGAGCGATACACCCAGCGCATCGAAGACAACCGGGTGGCAAGTCTAGAGGGCCTGTGCGTGTTGGCCCGAAAACTGGGTCACACACAGGTGCTACTGACCAATGCACGTATCCTTTGCTGCTGAAGTGCACTGAGTTGTTTGTTTCATTAGTGTACTTTTTATAGTACTTTCCATATTCAAGACTACAATCTGTATACTTCTTTTTTTTTCATTTTTAACATTTAAAGTGATAGTGATAGATTCGAAGTGACAGATTGACAAAATTACTTTGAAGATCTGGTTATGTTCAGTCATATGCTTCAGAGTATGCTTCTTAGGAGGTGGTGTGCTAAATTACTGGTGTCTGTCACAGGGAAGCATGTTCTCGCTGCCATACTTTCAAAATGGGATGCTGGCGCTACATAGAGTATCTTCCTGTGTCGCTGGCATGTAAGTTGAGAGAGAACAAGGAAAAAGTGCTGTGTCATGACTCGAGGCTGGATTACGGGCAAATGCCTATTTTGTTTCTTGTGTTTCTATCATGTCACTTTGATATATGAGCATGAATTTGAGGCTAAGAAGGGCTTTTATAGTGTTTTATAGTGGCTCTAAATGCCTATTTTTGACGTTGGGGCCTAAAATCTTATAAGCGCCTATAAAGGTATATTTTGAAAATCGGTGCCTAAATGATTGCTATTTGGCCTCGTATTTTGCCTTCGAGTACAGTTGGAGACCGGTATTCTTGTTAACAGGCAAAATTGAACTTTCAGAACTATATGGGCTGCAACCTATACTGTATCTCTTAAGTTTCCTTGAGCACCCTCAGGGCTACAAGGCCTCTTAGCCAATACGAAGGCCAATTACCCTCCACACATGTATTCATTCGCGTCGCGTCGTCTGCTCAGCATCTCTCCGGCGTCTACTCACATTTTTATAGGGAACGAGATACTTCTGTGCAGCTGTATGTATGATAGAAAACGAATTCGAAATTGTGGAGTCCCAGCAGAAGAAATTAGAGTGTAGATTGAAAAGAAAGATGTCCACGTGGTTTTTGTTTTGTTTGTCATTTACTTCTTACACTGCACTTCACTTGGTCACATGAGAAATTTATGTTAGACACTGGAAATTCTTGTGTGCCTAATGAAAAGCTTTTGCACTAGAATTTTACAATTACTTCATTAGAAGCTACGAAAGCATGATGCAAGGAGGTGATCTTGAAACCTTTGCCACTCGCCCGGTGTATACTTCGCAAGCCAAACTCCTTCCCTGCTCTCTTCGGCATCAGAGAGGGCAAGGAAGGAGCCAGAAGATCACACGACGCAGATGCATCAACACGTCATGCGCACGCAAGGTTACATTTGCATTACATTCCCGTGCCAGGTGTACATGCCAGTGGTGCTGCGTCATTTCGGCGTTCCCTGTATTCTACTGCCTGTTTCTGTGGGATGGATTCCTCTAGTTTTCCACAACTTTTTAGCCAGTTGCGGTTCCTTAGCAGCTTCCAGACCTGTCTGTGGATGGCCGCCAGCCGACTGCTGATGTGCACGTCGTCAAGCCGAGCTACCTGCGTGAGCAAGCTTCTTTGTTCCTGTTTAATTAGACAGCATAAAGAAAAGAAAACTGAATAGCTTGAGCACCACTACTAGTTGTCATCGAGGCCACTGTTTTTGTAGTCGGAAGTAATTGCAGATGATTGCTGTTTCACAAAACCACTTCAGTTAACGATCAGTACAATCTTAACCCCACTCATGCTATGATATCTACGAATGGTGTAACAGTTAGGAAACTTAATATTGGTAAGACTGTTTTATTTCCTCTCGCCGCTAGGCTACGCATATTACAGAATGTTACTACAGAACATTGCCAGAATGCAGACTCTCGGAACTGTGAGCAACCTGTTACGTCCCGGCTCACAAGTGTGCCAGTGTTGTCTGGCTCCCGGGGTGCCTTAATGTTTATATATAACCTAATCAATTATAAAGGAAGTGCTCAAACAAATGTGCTAAAATATTGCTGGCCTCATTACTAAGTTCTAACAAATAAGTATTAACCTATTAACACGTGCTATTGACATACATAATCAAATTAGGATAGAAAATTTAGTGTCTTGGCACTTTGAAGATCACACAAAGTTGCATCATACGTGATAAAATTGCCTTTCGTACTCGATGTAGGACGACTGCATGTTCAACAAATGTTGTGTGCTCCCAATGCTCCCCGTGTGCCTGTACTATGCATATAGGCCTGTCGGTGTCTCCGGGAGATGCTTGGGTGCTGGAACGTCAGGCCTCATACTGGGTGGAGGTGCAGCTTTTTGATGATCAGCAGCATCGGATCCACGCCAGTGAGGTGAGCTGCAAAAACTATTCCCTGCCAGCCCTACTGGGCTGCAGCTGATTTCAGGTTTAGCGTGAAAGCATCGTACTGCATTTTTTTGCTATTAACCCTCAGCAAAAACTGTTCTGCTTAGAAAGCTGGTTATATGCAGGCATTATATGCGTACATATTTTTGTTGTAGAGTTAAATTTAAGAGCACAGTGTATATGCAGGGTGGGCTGTATGCAAGAAAATACAGTATGTCTTCTGTTAATTTGACTTTGATCTAAAGGGCGGCGCGAGAGAATTGAAGCCGAAAGATTGCACGACATCTGTAGGGAGTGAGAGCCAATCAGAAGTGCGAGACAGCATGGCTTTGCTTATGTATAACGATGAAAGTAAATCGAGTGGCAATTTAATTATGGAGTAATGAAAGATGTGATTTCTATCAAAGCAAATGGAATGAGTGCTGAGTTAATTAGTGATAGCGAGTACTAATATAATTTAAGGCATGTTAGGTGTCAGTGAAGTGGAACCCGTTTATAACAAACTCGAAATTGTCATGATAAGTGGTCGTAATATGAGTAGTTCTTTGTGTGTAGACTTGCCCATAGATGCATGCTTAGTAGCCAAACTGTTTTTTTAGGTATTTTTATTAAAATTAAACGGTGCTACAACCCCCTTGGTGACAAGTTAAGCCTTTTTGCGTGTAAAGCGACACCTCTTGCGTGCTTCCGAGTGAATCTAACTACCTTTGCCATGAACTGACACAGTTTCACCGAAGCGCGGTAGTGCCATGTGATGGCCGTCATCCCTGGCTAGTTGCGTGCAGCGTGTCGCCTGCTCGGCTCTCGCCATCACATGACATGAACCGTTTGCAGTCTAATACATGCATGTGCTTGTGCATTCTTTGTGCATGCTTCACCCCGAATCGTGCACTAGTGCGGCGAGTTGCCTGTTCGTCCTACACAATGGAGACAAGCATTTTGCAAGCAACACGCAATGGGCCTCACACGACGCAATGGCAGCGAAGTTGCACACGGCAGCATGATGCGCTTGTACTGCTGTCACTCCGTGCAGTTTAAGCCACACGCGCAGCCAGGCAGGTATTTGTAGATGACAGTGACAAGGTTGTCGGCGATGATTAAAACGGGCATGTTCATCGCCAGCGGTCATCTCACCTTCACTTTTTTCTGATGCTTATCTGTCAAGGCACTACTAATTCACTGCCGACCGAACTAAATTCATAGATTTGCTTTTAGTGTCCAAGTGTGTCGTGCTTTACTGATTAAGCTGCCATGACAATCATCCCCTGCCAACTTTCTCGGCATACGTTATTTTTTATGGTATTTTCTATATTTTCTATGCTAGTTTCTATGCGAGTTTAGGTGATTGTTGCTGCTTCTTACTTGCTTTGTCATTTAATTGCGGTTTCATTCACTGCACAATTCAGTCAAACGCCTATATTGCAAGAGGATCAACAATGAAGTGCATCACCAGACCAGAGTCTGCACTCATGGGGGTGGGAATGGCTTTGCGGGTGCAGCATCGCGCACACGGCATGCCGTCTAGCTTTGTGCACCTTGCTGGAGGATGCATGGCGGTAGTTTCGAACTCTTAAATACTGTTGCCGTGTAAAGCACTGTCGTGACACTGGCTCAAAATTTATTTCCTATAAAACTTTCTTAATTGCATCCTGTAACAGACAAGATTTGCCTCATTGAACTGGGGTTTCAAACATCGGTTTCTGTGGCGATTCTTGAGGGCAATTGCGAATTGCTAGTGTCAATTACTTTGTTATAGCCTCTCTTGTATAATGAAGGTTTAATTGTAATCATGTGGAAATTTGTTCTGTTTTATGTCGGGACAACGGTATTAACCACTGACATAATTACAGCGTGTCAAGTACTGCTTTAAAAAAAATGAAAGTATGGTCACACATGTGAAACAGCATTGTTTCACATGAGTGACCAATGACAAGAAGATAAAAATCATTGATTTCCTTTTCTTTGCAGGGTCTCCAAGTGGATGTGCATTTTCCTCCCGAATATTTTGAGGTGAACCACTCCGTGGAAAATGGCACAGTTCACTGGGTGCGCACCCTTCAGAATGGCAGTACTATGATACGCGCAGAACTGCTGGGTTGCCGACAACCGGTGAGTTTCACAGCTTATAGCAAGCACTGTAGGTCGCATTCCTGCATGTTCTCGGTCATACTTTAATGGTCGATTGTGTAAGTAGAGTAGGCACTTTTTTAAGAATGAAGTAAGAGGGCACATGAAAATATGATCTTGCCATAATTTCAGCTCGTTTGAGGTACCTCCTAATAGTATATTCAAGGCATTAAAAGGAGCTAAATACAGTCGCTGACCGTTCATTCGGATGCTGAAAATTTGGACATGCTCATATGTGGACATTTTCGCAGCTCCTCCACTCCTCCCATTGAAGTAATGTAAACTCACGATGAAAAATCCGGACCCCCCACAGTGCGCCATTTTATTTTCATACACTGGCTGGCTGATCGAGTATGATGTCGAATGCTATGACAAGCAGTCCACAATGTTTACAATATTTTTGCTAGGTCTCCAGAACTAGCTACGGCTGGAGATCGTGCCGGTGTAAAAATGCACGCATCAATTGCAATTGCCAATCTGGAAGACTATGTGTCTTGGGTACATGTTGTGGCTGCCTTTCGTCCGAATCAACGGTCGGCAACTGTGGTATATTCCTTGAATACAGTGAGTGGAGTTGAGTGTGTCAGAAATTAATTGCAAGAGGAACCCTTACTTGATTCTGCCTGATCAAAAGTAGTGGTTTCAAGCCCACTCACAAAATTTTATTTTATCTGGGATGCTTGTCGTGGTAATGCACGTGCCATAACACATGGTCATCGGCAAGATTTTGTGTGCAGGTGTGCAAACCCATGTTGTATTGCGGCTGCTAGAAGGGGGAGTGTTAGTTAACGTAGCTTGGGCGGGGGCAACCAATGTTGTGGTTTAAAGGGGCAGAGGGGGGGGCGGGTAAGTGTTTCTTCTGCACGTCCCTGCTGATGCCCGCGCCATCAGATCAGCAGACATCTTTGTCCATGTTTGTTTCTTTGTTTTGTTTTATTCGCATCTTGCACAACGTACATGACGCTGGAAGCGAGCAGTAGAAGCTGTCAGAAATCGACAGCTTGACAGAGCTGCAAGCCCCCAAGCACTGGGCAGCCAAAGTGGTCTTGATGCGGAAACTCTATGGAATTTGTTGTGGTTCTGGGGAAGACAACTGCGACACCATTTGTCATTTTCTGTAAGGGTGAGGAAATCTGGTGGCCCTTTGGATGCTTCTGGCTGCCGCCTGGTTTCCAGAGCTGTGAAGACCGGAGGTCCAGTGTTTTTTATTTATTATTTACAAATACTGCTGGCCAGAGGCCAAAGCAGGAAGGGCAATATAATACAGTTGTCATACACATTTCAAAACAACATCAACAATAAAGAGAGTAAAAAGTGGAAAGCGTGACATATTTATACAAAAGCAACAAAAGGAAAGAGTGGGGAGGGAAAAGAGGAAATAGTTGGAATAGTTAGAAAAACAACTTCAAATTTCAGCGTAAATAAGATCGGGAGAGTGTAAACTGCTTGCAGGCAAATCGTTCCACTCTTCAATGGTACGAGGAAAGAAGGAAAATTTGAACAAGTTAGTACGAGCAAAATATGGTGTTAAAGAAAGTGCGTGTGAATGCCAAGTCTGGCGTGTTCTTAGTGGTGTGAGGTAGGGGTCAGGGTTCAGAGCAAATTTGCGGTTAGAAAGTTGGTGCAAAAATTTGAGACGTAAGAATCTGCGTCTCGACTGCAAAGATGTGATACCATTTGAAAGCATTACACTAGTTACAGAACTACCAGGCTTGTAAAGAGAATAAATGAAACGAACTGCCCTCCGCTGAATTTTTTCTAATGCATCAATGTTAGTTTTAGTATAAGGATCCCAGGCAATGCATGCATATTCTAATTTAGAGAGAATCAAGGATTGGTAAGCTAAAAATTTCACTTTCGTAGGAGCATCCTTAAGTTTGTGCCTTAGCATGCAAATTTGCGGAAAGCTGCGGAAGAAACTTGTTTAATGTGGGAATTCCAACTTAAATTATTCGTTAGAGTGACACCAAGATACTTGTATTCGTTAACTTCTTTAAGAGGTTGGTTAGAGAGCGTGTAGTCAGTTAGTACTGGCTTTTTCTTGTTAGAGCAGAACTGATTTATCCAAGTTTAGTTTCATCCCCCATTGATTGCACCATAGACATATTTATTTATTTATTTATTTATTTGCAAAATACTGCTAGCCTAAAAAAGGCTGTAAGCAGGAGTGGGAATACAAAGATGATATATATACATACTGCGCAAAAGAAAGCGATAACAGCATGCTTCACACTAGGTACTCTTCTACAGCAATAATATCATCAGTTATATCGATCATCACAGCAGTAGGTAACTACACTGTAACCATTATATTCTAAATGCCAGTAATACATACATGGAATAAAAGAATATATGTATTTCCTTACATATAAGGTGACGATACATAAAAGTAGAAACACACAAGTGAACATATACAAAGAAGATTAGTAAACTCGTACATTACTCGTATATTGTTTAAAGTGGACTGGAGAGCTGCTTGGTCATTAGAACTAGTTATCGAGTTAAACAGAATACAATCATCTGCAAAAAGTCGAACGTTAACAAGTGGGTTTACACAATTTACTACATCGTTACAGTATATCAAAAATAGTAGGGGACCGAGTACACTGCCCTGTGGGACACCTGAAGTAACCGGCAGAAGAATTGAGTTCTGATTAATAATGCACACAAACTGGGAGCGATCAGACAGGTAGTTACAAATCCAGGCTAATAGAAAATTTGGAAGTCCAATAAGCTGTAATTTAACCATAAGTTTATCATGGGGGATGCAGTCGAAAGCTTTGCAGAAATCTAGGAATATGACGTCTACTTGGCCGCCCTTATCAATCACAGATGCAAGAGAGTGAATGACTGTACATAACTGAGTTGTTGTCGACAAGCCCTTTCGAAAATCATGCTGATGCGGAGATAAAAAGTTATGCTCATCTAGGTGTTTTGATATGAATGTTGTGACAATGTGTTCTAACATTTTGCTACAAGACGATATAATCGAAATTGGCCGATAATTGAAGACAAGAAGAGGGTCTCCCTTTTCGGGAATTGGCTTGACACGAGCCATTTTCAATTCTTTAGGTAACGTTGCAGTACGGATTGAAGCTTCAAAAATTGTAACGAGGTATTTGGACAAGGGCTCGGCATACCGTCGAAAAAATTCGTTCGGTATTCCTTCTGGCCCACCGGAGGATTTTACTTTTATTCGAAGAACCATGTTTAAAACTCCTTCATATGAAATTAAATTTCCTGGTGGAGTATCTGCGGAATCATGCACAAAAGCCACAGGCTGAGAAGACTGACAGAAAACACTATGAAAAAAACAGTTAAAATGATCAGCAATCGCTTTCGCATCTGATACCAGAGAACCGTTCACAGAAATTTGTTCTACGTTCTTTTTGCGATCGCTAATGTAGGCCCAAAACTTCTGCGGGTCATCTTTAATAAAATTAGCCAGTGTGGTACTGAAATAAAAGCTTTTCTCGCGTTGAATCGCTTCGTGTAAAGCAGACCGGACTTCACCTAGGCGCTGGGAAGCTGCCCTCTTTTTCCTGAGACGTTCAGCCTTTCGTTTTAGTTGCAGTATAGGTCTCGTGACCCACGGAGTGAACTTAGTGCGTTTTTTAGCTTATTGGGAATGAATTTATCTAAACAAAACGTACAGATGTTCTTGAATTTCTCCCAAAGGTGTTCCACATTGTCACCACAAAACTCAGCCACGTGATCATCCAAAAACTCAAAAATACGCGAATCTTGAGCGTGCGCAAAGTTTTTAACAGCTTTTGTGGTATTCACATCCCCAGAACGGTTTATATTCAAGGGGAACGAAACACTAATCAAACTGTGGTCCGATATGCCAGGGATTAGGGACACGTCGCACTGAGCAATTGATCGGTGTAAAAATACCAAATCAAGCAATGAAGATGTAGACTCTGTAACACGCGTGGGTTCAACCACAACTTGCACAAGATTGTGGTCAATCATAATATCAAACATACAAGAAATATTGACAGAGTCAGAGCCTGCTTCTAATCTTTCCCAGTCAATACCTGGAAGATTGAAGTCTCCTGCCAATATTACTTTTCTCTCGATGAATTGTAGCATGTGCGCATGCAGCTTTGTCAGATAATCGCTTGTTGCATCAGGAGCCCGCTAGGCTGCGTACAACATGAAATTCTGGCAGCCAAGTGTCACATTTAAACACAAGCACTCGAGATAGGGCACATCAGGTTGGTGGGGCATCATCTGGGTTGAAGTGGGGAAGCTTTATTACCCGTTACTCTTGTCAGGACGGGTCACTGCTGCCGGCCTCTGCAGTAGGAGAACAGTCGGTGTCCACCCCTCTGTAATGCCCTACGGGCCCTGAGGGTATTCTAATAAATAAATAAATAAATCAGATAGCAACGTAGCTTTTATGCAGTATTTCAGAATAACTGCCACACCACCCCCCTTAGTTGCCCTGTCCTTCCGGAAAATTTTGAAACCCGGCGGCACCACATCATCATCACTGACGAAAGTATGAAGCCACGTCTCGGTAAGGACAACTAGGTGAGGATCATGTGCCAGAAGTATAGCTTCAAGACGCTCAGTTTTGTTTGTAATACTACGAGCGTTTATATTTAGTAGTCCTACACGTTGGTTGTTCATGTGTCATGCGCTTCCATTATCACTACCTTCATGAGCATTGCTTAGAACACCTTCTGCGTTCACTGCATGCGTATGCCGTTTCTTTTGAGTGATTTTTCTACGTTCGTTCGCCGTTTCGTTTTAAATCGTGAACTAGATAAACGTTTTTCCCTTGGGATTTTTCATCTTTTGCACTGTCCAAAAGCAGTTTTCTTTTTTTTAAGCGATCACTGCAGACGTTTGTCTGTAACATTAAGTATTAATTATTAGTAATAAGTGGATTTTTTTTTACCTTGAGTTTATGAAAAACATTCAAGAGAGGCTGACAGTGCAACTCTAGAAGCCCGGCTGCCCTGAGAAGCTTGAGACCAGTCAGAGTGTATACATTTGAGCATTTACCTAGTTCACTGGATGAATTTTTCTTCATACCCGTACAACTTTAGCAAATTTCACTGTTGATATCTATCGCATATTTTTTGTATTCTGCTCCATAGTAAACTTAGAGTGCAAGAACTCATGTAGATTTTAGCTCAAAGTAAACCTCAAATAGTAAAATTTTACTTATGTAGCCTAACTAGGGCAGTCTTCATACCACGCGCATTCGTTTAAGATATTAAATGCTTTCTTACGAAAAGAAGCATTGGCTTACAACAACTCCTACTTGTATTGAGACCATAAAAGCATAACAGATTTCCCAAGAGAAAACACAGACGGTCAATTGCGAGATTACCAGCACCAGCATGGCATGGGACACTTATTGAATCCTTCACAATGGCATCTGTATTTACTCAAAAGAAAAAGTCATCTCCTTTGAATGGAACGTATTGCAAAAACTGTACCTTGTGGTCTTTTAATTGAAGTTATAATGTTCCAGGGCTGGGCCTGATGGCAGACGAGTGGCCGCGTCTCGTGTCAGGCTTCAGTTTCCAGTTACACCCGTAGACAGTGTAGATGCCTAGGCCTTAGACAAAGCAGTAGCCACACGGTGAAACGGGGAAAGGTGCTTCCTACGGGAATACGGTCTAAAGTCACTGTACTAGCAGCACTGGCTGTAGCAGGGGCTGCTACAGTACCTTCCCATGCATCTCTACTTCACTAATAATGCAATCATGCACACCCACACTAAGCCGCAAGACGTCGCAGAAAGTTACAAGCAAAACGGAGGAGAAGTGTAGCACCACTGTTACTGCAGATTTTGCACTGGGTTGAAGTGGAGAAGCTTTATTACCCGTTACTCTTGTCAGGACGGGTCACTGCTGCCGGCCTCTGCAGTAGGAGAACAGTCGGTGTCCATCCAAGAGAGGCTGACTGTACAACCTGAGGAGGTCTGGCTGCCCTGGGAGCCCGAGAAGCAGCCAGCGTACATGGTAGAAGTGCATGCCTACGGTGGCACGGGAGCCCCCGTACGGTGGCAGCTGGACCAGGACGCACCGGTGTGGGCTGCAGTCGAAGGCCCCACTCTAGGTCCGTCCGCCACCGTGGCAACGCGTGGAGGTCCCGGACGTGTGCACCTGGTGGCCACTGACAGCCACTTTGCCCCGGCCAGCACGTGGGTGTCGCTCGTTCCCGTTGTGGAGTTGGAAGCCCACGGCGCCCCCGCACTAGAGGCCGAGCTGCCTGCTGGGGTGCTGGTGGTGGCCGTCACCATGTATGGTCGGGACCGTAAGTGACCGCTTTATGGTTGCCATCTATGGCTTTGAATGTGACTGCTTATATCAAATTAATTGTGCTTATAGTTAGGCCAAGTATTTGTTGGATCAGGCCAAGCATGGGGAAGGATTTGTATTTTCTTTAGAGTCTCTTTGGCTTATTTGCTTGTGCCTAAGAAGGAAATGAGCCTCTGAAAAATTTTATGGAGTTGCACTGCTCGTATCATCATGTATATTAGTAAGACAATGATACAGTCGAACCCACTTATAACAAGTTAACGACCTATGAATTATAACAATATGGTAGCCTGACTTGTTAAATGGAACCTGGAAGGACCAAAAAAATATTTACCAATTTACTAGAGTTTCATTAGCTGAGAGAAGACGAGGGGTGCAGAATACAAAAATGTAACCAATGTTGTCATAAGTATGTGTTTCATTTAAGCAGCAGTTTGGTTTAACAGATTTCCATCGACGGATGGCCTGCTGTATTTTGGTGCACTTACGTTATTCACATGCTACCTATTGACTTAGAGCGAAGATTTTCAAAGTTTCCTACTTTCTCAAGAAACACTTTTCAAATGGTTGTGGTGAAAATATGGTGCGTACGAGGGGAAAAAAAGAAAAGAAAACAAAAAAAGCTCTTCTAAAGCATGAGAGGCAGGCACTCGTGTGTGCCCCATTTTACTCGCGATGAAGATACCTTAGATAAACGAGCACCGCTCGCTGATTTTGAACGCTGTGAGCGATGTCACTCACTTTCCAGGTGTTTTTTCAGTGGCAGAGCAGCAGCGATGAATTAAAAAAAAAAATAGTAGGTAGCAGGGAGCGTAGCGTCCAGTTTTCGCACAGCAACCTTATGTGGCACCGTCCTCTCGAGCTACAGCCAACTACGGTGAACCTATGCCTTGGAACACAGGAAGCGATAAAATGCAATAGGCAATGACCAAAATAACTTATCATTGCATAAAAGTTCACCGAGTGGATACCGCAGCGTGTGTTTCATTTTTTTGGCAAAAGCAGGCACTGGTACTAATTTAGACTTCTGCGCGATTACGCCGATGCTGTCACATATAAGTATGACAAGAAAGCAAAGGCGATGTGGCAGTCAGCGATGCACGTGCTATTATGACTTATCGCCGACAACTTTGTCACGGTCATCTACAGCTATCTACAAGCGTAATAATTGCTACCTACACCACCACTTTATTTCGCTTGGACTTTTCTCCCTCTTGAAATGTCCTTCAGTTTTAACATAACAGGTCTTCTTAGGATTTGCTGCGTGAACATCTTTTATTTGAGCAGGCCCCACTCAGGGCAGCAGGCATTACAGAAACAATATTGATGAAGGCTAGCTAATCAAGAAGCAAGTTGGGACAACGGGAGAACAAACTGCCAACTGTATTGTCCTCTTTGTAAAAGGCTGCCCTCATCTGCCAAAATCTGCTTATGCAAGCTGAAAGTCGGAGTGAACATGTTAGACAATGTTATAGAGCAGGAATCTTATAGTTGCACTTGAAATTGGACTGCCAGTTAGTTGCATCGCATTTAGAAGAGCTGAAAAAAAAAAAAGAGTGTGAGCATTCGTACAGGCCATGTTAGCTGCACATTAAGGCTCCGCATCGTTAGGATTGCAAGTTCTGTGCTCTGGCACGTATCAAGTCACTTCAACGGCAGATAGTTGGCTGATTGTGCACTGGTGTTTTGGGCAAGTTGTGAACGGAAATAAAGGTGGCCGTGTGGGTCAAGGGAAAGGGCACTACATATTAGTAGGCATAATGATAACACTCGCAAAAATTTAAAGCTTCAAACATTTGAACTTGCTGCTGGAAACCATTCAGACAAGCAAAGTTTTCAGAAGTACAAAATTGGTTCATAAATAAAGGCTTCATGCGGGTCTTGGACGTCCTTGAAAACCCTTGAATTGGAAAAGTATGTTTTCAAGGCCTTGAAAGTTCTGGAATTTTAGGAAAATTTTTGAACATCCTTGAATTTCCTTCTTTTTTTTTTTTTGATAAAATGTCGCACATTTCACACCGCATTATTTGTGATGCCGTAAATGTAGCAGGTGACATATGTAATGTGCCCATCACAGAATAATCGAGAATATCAGTAGCTTCTGCACGGAATCAACACCGTGCATTTCTGGAAACTCGAAAAAAGGAAGGAACAGGAGGATGAGAAACATAAAAAAGAAATTTTGCTTTCAGGAGGAGGTCAAAATGTGAACAAAAGCGGAAAAAGAACTAGAAGTCGCTGTTTCTTAACAGCTACAGCAGACCCATGCACCGAAAAAGCAGAGACAATTAGAGACTTGATGTACATCATCAAGTCAAACAGCTTTGAAAAGACTGCCAAAACCAAGCAGCAAGGAACTATGATTGAAAGTTGTCTGGAAAGAAAATGTCATTGGAACCATGTTTTTGACATCTGGCCTTTTTTGATGAATGCTAGTTATTTCAAGCCTTTATCCTTCCATAAGCATGTGGTAATTGGGTTTCTAACAGACAATGTGGTCCTTGAAAATTCACACACGTAGCCTTGAAAGGCCTTTGAAACTCTTGAACTTTTGTCATGTAAATGAGCATGAACCCCGTAAATAACGTAAGTGTTGTCTGAACAGGAACATGTGTTTCACGTTTTTATTTTGTGTGCACTTGCAATGTATAGCTACATGTAATTTTAACTGCAGATCGTTCTCTGGCTACATTATTGAGAGCGCTGCAACAGGCAATAACGTAGTGTCATAATTTTTCAGTCTTCTTCCTGTGTAATGTTGTCTGTGCTACCATTTTCAATGCAGCTGACAACCAGCAGCAGAGGCGGTTTGACAACTGCAGCCAAGTGTCACTCACTGCGGAAGTTCTGGACAAGGGTGTTCTCAAACCTTTGCCAGGTGAAATGCCCATGGTTTCATTTCTTTCTCCATTGAAAATTCCGGTTTTTTACAAAAATTTCGCATTGCTTTTACAGTGAAACCTTATCAATACGCATTTGCCAGAAATGCAGCACAACTACGCACTTGACGATACTACGCATTAACGGCTCAGTAAGAATTCGTGTCTCCTGACGTGTGCCATCACCACCAACAAAGTGAAAACAGTGTCGGGGAAAATATTGCCAGAAGTACCTACTGCAAAGCATTTGTATTTTTGCCAATGGGCACAGAAGATTCTGGTTCTGACACGACAGTCCGATAGCGCATGGTGGTGATGCTTAGGAGCATCTTAAACTGTTTATTACGGGATTCGAAATATGCAGCAATTGACATAGCAACAGAACGGGTGCATGTGTATTGTTGACTATCCGCTTCTGTACCATGACGTGCTGTCTAGCGAAAACAAACTCACTTTACCTAACTGAAATGTCGTATGGCTGCATAGGACAGATCATCTCCCCTCTAGTTGCGTGCTGCACGTAGCCTACTTAGCTAACACTGCCATGGCCGGGTCACTTGCTTTGCCATGCATGAATTTGCAGTTGTAGTGTTCTTGGCATGCACTCTGCTGTGGAATGTGCACGAGTAGCTTGTTGGATTTATGCGGCGATGATGAGTTTCCAGCTAGGGGTGTGCACTACACGTTTCTGCGGTGCTCCATGCTCTAGCGGTCCTGGTAGTATACCACTTCCGGTACCTGGACCGCTGTCAGGAAATATTAATGATGCTGTATTAGTTCGTTTGCCCGTTGGGCATCTTCGTTGATGTGGAACTCGATCATCTATGCAGTAGAACCTTTACGAAAAATTGTGCGGAACAAACATACTACAGTTAAACGTGCTTACAACGTACCTCTATATAACGAATTCTTCGATGTAACAAAGTTTTTCTATTCTCCATCGTTACAGTAAAATCTCGGTATAACGAAATTCGAAAGATTGTTATAGTGAAAGCCCGCAAATTAATCATAAATACTTATTTTCCACCGACCAAAACGACTTAGCTTTACAACGGTGGTTTCTTGAACTCGTTTTTTATAATAAAAAACAAATGTGCAAGTGAACACCAAAGAATGCATGTTTCCTTAAAAGTCTGTGTGTTCTTTTTCTGATGTGCGCACAAAATTTGCAATGCGAAGGCTTCCAGCTCATCCACATTCACCACTTTCTCCTTAGCGAGAACTGTTCCTGCTTCTTCGTTGCAAGCAGAGATGAACTCGTTATTGTAGTAGCACCGCAGCGCGAACACCGGCTTGCTTTGCGGACGCGATATGTAATCACCGAAAAGATGAACACGACTGACAAGGCCTCCTCAGAGAACATCTATACCCCTTTGGCCTCCTAGATCACATGTAGAAGTGACAAGGATAAGAAAAACCCGAAGCGCCGCGGCTGGCATCGCCTCTTCTGAAAGAAAGAAAGAGCTAAAAAAATTCCTCGCGTTTCATTTTCTGTTCCGTCGCTGACTCAGGTTTTCCGCGCCCATGCTTCCTGCTCCGCAACTCCCACTCTGCCTCGCTCATGGAGGAAGGTCTCGCTGACCTTGCCCACCCGTGCTGCCCTCGCCTCTCGCCTCTGCGCTTGTAAATTTGCAGCATTGGTGTTTCAATAAATATAAAGAAAAGAAAATCACCCTTTCGTCTTTTTTACCCCTCCACACCGTCGCACATCTTCCGAGAAGCAAGGCGTTCGTTGGCTGTGTCGTCTGCTTGGGTACCGCTCCGGTGGTCGTGATGGATTTCAGAACACGAGTTCGTAATACGGAGGTGTTGTTAATATATTGTGGAACTAAATTAGCACTCGTTATTCTGAGAAGTTCGGTATTCTGAAGCACGTAGTAGTGAAATAATTTTACATTGAAGCTATTAGCAGTCGGCACGGTTTTTTTTTTAAGTTAGTTAATCTGAAAAGTTTGTTAAGGTGGTGTTTGTTCTACCGAGATTTTACTGTACTTCATATAAGCACAAGTATTTGTGACCTCGATGTAACAAAGTAACAGCGACAGACACCCTTGAAATAGCGAATTTTCGCCATGGGACAATCTGGGAATTTCGCCCCGGATTTCGTCATTTTGGCACGATCGTGCATCTTCTACGGTTGCCCTGCCGTCGACAAAGTGCACTGCATTCGCATGGCGGGCTCGTGGTTCCGACGATTAGCAGGCGAGAACGAGCAAATGGGCATGTGGGCGGGCCTGCACCCCACGTGCTGGCATTGCCTTCACTCTTGCCGCCACAGGAGCATGTGCGGATGTGCCCTCCCCCTCCCTCTGTTGTCTTCGACCTCGATATAAGAAAGAATAATTTACTCACATAATACAGCACACGCCACACAGGCTGAACTCGAACGCCATACAGGCTACTAAAAGCCACACAGGCCACAAACTGCACGTGAGTCTCTTTGTCAATGTCGTCTTCTTACTTCACCATCTACAAAAAGGCACGTGCATTTCTAACACCTCCAAACCAAAATAAAACTACTTTTGCATTGGCAATGCCACACTTTTAGTTAGTGACACACATGTGGGAGTGTGGCAGTTTGGGCTACTTGGTATGACATGACGATAGTTATAGCGCGAGAACAGAACAACGACAAAGAGACAAGAAGGACACGAGCACGAGTGCACAGCGCTCGTGCCCTCTTGTCATCGTTCTGTTCTCGCGCTATAACTATCGTCACACATGTGGGGCCGCGCTGCATATAGAGGGCACTTTGCTGAATAATTTTCCCTTGGTATCCGTGTCCTTTGCTCTTCGTTTTCGACACAGTACGCGTGTGGGTGGTTTCACTGCGCGTGGATGTTCAGCTTTGCTTTTTTTTTTTAAATGCGCACAAGCGTGCCGTCACCACCAAAGGGGTGCCACATTAGATGGTGATGGAAACCTTTCGACACCACAGTGACAATGACGGATCTTTAGAGGTTGGCTCATTATGTGTTTCTATCTTGCGCTGCGTCGCAAGTTCGCAAAACTGTAGCTTTCACCAATAGCGCTGGCAACAGCACAACGGCACGTTGAATGCAATGCAATGAATGCAATAGCGAAATTGTAAGGTTTTACGAAGTAAGGCTGGCAATTAAGTCTTGCTGATCTGATATCGTGGAACTCCTACAAAATGTTGGTGTAACCAAATAAGGCCGCTCCAGAAAGAAGTGCTCTTTTCACACAGTCTCTTCGTGTTGAAGGTGCACTGATGCTTGCCGTGATAGCACGTGCGTTAGCAATCGCCACAGCACCCTTAAAATCAAAGTTCACTGTTGCTACTCGAGAAACCCCCCTACACGTATTTTCATGCTCATTCCAGACAAACGGTTTTCTTTGCGTTTGAGCACTCATTGGCAGTTCTAACACGAGGGGGGGATTTTATCGTATGGGCCTTCCAGATGATAGAGAAAGGCCGGCTCATTTCAATACTGCTTCAATAGCACTTGTGCCCTTTTACCCGCTCATAAAGTTACAATGCGCGTGGGCTTGTTGCGGATTATGGCGGCGATTTGTTATTGGATTCATTATGTATTATGGCGGTGACGCCAAGAACCCGTTGGTTGGCGACGCCAAGAACCTGTTGATTGTGTCCAGATAATTGCTATTGCAAGAATAATGCATTTTTGAATGCAAATAAGTTTGGGGGTGAAAAATCTTTTGGGTTACCTCTACCCTTAGTTCTCCTTTCTAATTTGTGTGTCTATTTTTTAATTTTCATACTGAAGCTGCATATCACGGAATCCTCTTCATAATGAATTTTTTCTGGAATTTGTCAATTTCGTTTTATCCAGGTTTAACTGTATCCGGCAAAGCATATGATCTGAATCCAGTAGAAGTTGAGGCTGACAAGCCATTTTAACGTGCAAGAGCAAGAAACGTTTCTCAAGAAATGTAGCGGGGCTCTTGATTTTCCGGCAGTCGGAGGCCAGCCATCTAGCTCCGGTTCTGATATTGAAATACTCAGACTCCTGAAGATGGCCGATGATGGCAAAAATGGAATGCTGGAACCACCGATTTCATTACGGAATTCTCAGAAACTTCCAGCAATTATTTATGTGTCAGTTCCACTGCTTTACTTTCGTGCATAGAGCTTCCTAGTATACACTAGAGGGAACTCTGGCGTTAGTGTCTGTGGGAGCTGCAAAGCACGGCGCTTTAGCGAGCATGGAAATGATGGGTAGTGCACGGGTTTGTCTAATCTTCGTACTTCTGGCTCCCTGTGTGTTCGTGTGGCTTGGAGCTGTTTTTTCACAAAACAAAAATCAGCAAATGTTCAGCAGGGGCACTTCATCACCTTATTCTTTTAGGCTTACCTTTTTGAACTGGGTCAAAAAGTTCAAAAGGCTTTATTTCTTCTTTCGAAACAAAACCAAAACTCAGTAATAAACAAAGCTGCAAGTACGATTCACTGTCCGCAAGTATGAAGACTAGGCAAATCAGTGTACTAGGTACCCATCATTCCCATGGTCGCTGAACAATCGAAGTGCCAGAGTCCCCTCTAGTTAATTTTAGAAAACCCTGTGCTTCCATGGACTGCTTCCTGATGTTGTTTTATGAAGTCTTTCTCCTCAGAAACTGACTGTTGTGCTGCTTGGTTCGCACAGAGATGGTTGGAGGAGGTCCACCTGTAGGACGTGGCTGCACGAGTGTTCGCGTGCAATGCCTGGCGGCTGGGCATGCGCGCCTGCAGCTGAATCACGGCACGCTGCAGTCGACCGTGCTGCTCGGATGCTACGAGTCCTTGCAGGTTAGTGCTATCAAAGACGTAATTGCCTAATGTGGTACTCGTTAGAGCTGTGCAAACAGCAAAATGTGTGGTGCGAATCGAATATAACATCTTTGGAATAGTTCCAAGTGAAAAAACAAACATTGAAGCGTAGTGAAGGAAGGCGTCATTGTCAATTGAACATTGACTGTACTTGTTTTCGGGAAAATTGAGTAGTTCAGATGGTAAAATTCCAGCTCAAATCGAATCGAGTAGCAAATACTATTCGAACCTTATTCGATATTTTGAATACTCACACACCCCTGCCTGCGTTTTGCCCAAATTTCCATTCCTTAGCTGCATTAACTAAATCTCCATAGCAGCGCAGTATTTAAGCACTTACGACACAAAAATCTGTTATAAAAGCTTGACTCGAAAAATCCTGGAACAGGGATTGGCACTAGAGGCAGTGACATTACCTGTTGAAAGATGCCTGTTTTAGGCAGCCTTGGCAGGCCACCGTCTGTCTACCATTTAAAAAAGCCCACTGAGCCACTACATATAGCCTGTAGAGCCTTAGAAGAAGGGTCACGCCTGCGATGAACTCCTTTTTAAATAAATGTCTCAGTATCCTAACGTCTCATTGACATTGGCAGTCAGTCTTTAGCTTCACTGTTTGCACATGACTCACTGTCTGTTTTTTTGCAGGCTGTGCACCCAGCAAAGAGTGTTGCAGTGGCCTATGGTTCACTGAAAGAGGTGGCCTTTGAAGGGGGTCCCCGGCCCTGGCCCATGCTACCTTCCGGCCACCGCGTGCAATGTGAGTGGCTGTGACTGTCAAACCGCACTTGGACCTCCACCCAACCTGTTGTTTATAGCAAATATGCACAACAAGTCGGCAGGTGACAGAACAACTCTAGATTATGCGGACAGCACGTTGCGTGACCACGCATTGTGATGTGCCTCGTCAAATGAAAGGGAACATGCTGCTATGGAGGTGTATATTACTATGCGCATTGCTGTTATGCAGGTACATCATATCCCACTTATAAGTTGTCGGAGCTGTGAATATCCGCTTTCTAAATGGTACGTCTCTATAACCAAAACATTTTTAAAAAACTGCACAAGTCCATAACTTGACCGCCAGGCAGCCGCGCGATTCTAACAATTGCGCGACTGGAGTGGAAATTTGCATTTGTTTCAATTTCCAATGAACGTCCATAGACCTGCAGTGCCGGCAGTCTGGAAAAAAAAAATGCGCTGTAGCGGTAGGTGGTCAACTGGCTTTTCCTGCCTCCTCACTTATAAGGGACTTCGCCGCGGTGCCACGTGGTGCAGAAACTATATGTGGTACGCACGCTTTTGATTTTCCAGGTGTGTGCGCGATGTCAAAACAGTGACAACCACGAACTACCACTGTTGTGCACATGCACCTTCATTTTGTTTCAAGATGTAAGTCATCCTTTCTAAATACAACAAGTAAAGCGTTTTGTTGACTTGGTACCAAAATGCGACCTTGATATCTCGCAGCCACTACCGACGAGGCATCATTCAGCGCCTGTTAATCCTATCGTGCGGGTTGCAACTTGGCGTGCCGTCGCAAGAAGAGGTAGCACTCACGAGCTAAACTGCAGGCGCGGAGAGCAGTACGGGTGAAACAGTTTTGGTTCAAATTCAGGGGAACAGCGCAGCAACTGTAATGAAAGAAGTCTTCCAAGCGGGTAAATTCGCGTGTTGGTCGCCAGGGTGAAAGCCCAACTGCGGCTTTCAGTACGATGACTCGCGAGGGAAATCGAAGTCGCATGCTTGATATTTGCGTTCTACGATGATGCAATTATTATTTTCTCTTCAGAAAACTGAAGCAACAAAGCAGTGTTAACGCACAGTTGATGAGGATGAGGACTATCGTTTGAAGCAAAGCTTACATCATAGGTGACATAAGCAAAGAGTCAAACACTTTAACCTCTCCCCGTCCTCACACCATGTGCCTGCATTGTGCTTCTGCCCCTTTCCCTTCTTGTTCGTTCTTTCTGCGTCCCCTCTGCTTTGTAATGTCATCGTTGCTCTCTCTTCAGCGGGCATGCCTTCGGAAAGAAGCGCGCATATGCTCCGTCGCCGCTTCTCGTGCTTCTCTGAGAATTTTCCAGCAGCTGCGTGCTAACCGGTCTTTCATCTGGGGGAAGGGGAGGTGGGGGGCTGTACAATAAGCGGTATGTACTACATTTAGCTCTATGGAAGGGTAAATGAGAGTCAGAAAAAAAAAAAACACATAGCCGCTCCTGCACCGTAAGCGGTGACATTATAAATGGTCTCAGCTGTACATATCACCAGTGCAGCACTAACTGCTACAATACCATCTAGGTGGCGGTAGTTGTGCACTAATTTTCTCCATAAAGAAAGGTGCATTTTTCAATAACCTCGAATCTAAGCTGACCCTAAAGTTTGATGCAAAGAAATCTGGAAAAAAAAAAAAAACTATCGACCTAGATTGGAATAAATATAGTATGTGAGTAGTAAATTTAAGGTTGTAAGCAAATTCGATGGGAGCAGTGATTTGGTTGTATTGAATTCGAATAGTGTGTATCAAATATCATAAAAAAGAAATTGAGCATATTTGTCATGACGCCACTAACTGTACAATATTTTTATTTTTATTTTTTCATTCACACAGGGCATGTGCAACCGCCATTCTTTTTGGTACAAAGTATGTGGAAGCAACTTTGAATAGTGGCAGGATCTGGCTCTCGGTAGAATGCATGTGACACTCTGTAAAATATGTTGCATTTTGCAATTTTACTATGTCGTACCTTCCCCAGTGCTTTCTTTGGCTTCATTGTTAGTTGGTTCTCATTAAGGTTGTGTCTAATAAAGAAAAGACAAGCCCTTGAATTCCCCTTTTCTCATAACCACTCGGATATGTAGCGTAGATGTGCACTGTTATTTAATGCACGGTCTTCGTTCACACTTGCACCACCCTGTTATTATGCAGTGTTGCCAAGGGTTGCCAAGCCAGTGACCATCGTGCGCATTGTGGATCCCTTCCATATGAAGAGTAAGTCGGTTTGGTTTGTTGGTTACATTTCCACAGAGTGATAGACAGTGAAGCCAGAGAATGCTTTCATGTGAATACTTAATTCTATGCTTGTGCGAATCGTGAATTTTATGTTCGTAGCGAATAATGACTTTGTTTTAATAATTTCGAATCGAATTCATATACTAGTATATATCACTTATTGTAAAGAAAAATGGGCATATTTTTCATGACCAAACTAACCTGCACAATATTTAAAACATATTTAAACAAGGCCTGTGCAAATGCCATTATTTTTTATTCGAAAGCAGTGGAAACAACATTGATTAGTAGCAGGATTTAAATTTCTGTAAAATGCGAGTGATAACCTGTAAAACATGTTAGATTGTAAAATTTACTCTACCTTGAGCATATAAGCTGGGTATAACAAGTTTTTAAACTTGAAAAATGAATCGATGTGAGGGTAATATGATTATTTAACCTTAAAGTGGAACTTTGTGGCAGTGCAGGTTTCTCCTGGAAAGGTGTTTTGACGATTTAACACCCCTCCACCGCAGTGAAACCATATTTACAAATAGATCACATGTGGACTAATGTACACCTGTTTGTTCATTTCAAGTAATTCAAGATTTCTAATAATTTTGAATACAGTAATATTTGCTTGAGTATTCAAAGCAATCGAATACATATTTGCAAAATCCTACAAAATTAATTCCTCTAACTGAAATGTCGACGTGGTGAACTAATCTGTTAAGCCTAGCGTTGGTACAAGGAAAGTTGCCATGCATCACAATTTTCTTTGCTACGCAGAGGACCTACATGTGTTCAGAGTGCTGTGTGAGGGACTGGGCGAGACGGTGAGTAAACTGTGGCACTGTAAAATGGCAATGCAGGTAAATGCAGATTAGCAATGGCCTATAAACCGTGCAAACAGAATGTAAAGAGAAAATAAAAAAAAACGTCCAGTGGTAGTCATTGTTTCCTGCCAGTCTTTGCACAGATGACAGCTTGAACGTCGACCGTAAATAGTGAAGGTTAGAAATAACTGGCATTACTGGAGAACTTGGGGTACCGAACTCTTCACAGAGGAGTGTAGTTTGGGCTCATTCTTGCTAGTCTATACGATGTATTCGTAAGACACTCTACAAGGTCCGGACAAAACATTCAGTGTTCTTTTTTCTGCGTGTGTGATGGGGTGACACACACGTTAACTGTACCCATCTTTGTCTCGGCACCACAGCACTGCCATCTTGGATCAAAGGTCAGCCGTCCCTTTTAGGGCAACCTATAACATGCCGAACACCCCTGTCATATGATCCATCACGTCGCTGTCACAACACCAGTAACTATCGTGAGACTACATTTTCTTGCTAGATTTGTCTAAATAGTGGCAAAGTGATGCTCTTGATGTCATGAGTGTCTCATTCGCGAAGAAAAGGCAGCGATAAACACTACAGGTGTAGTCGTAGACGCTGATGCCGTGATGGTGACTTGATGGAGTGTTCCGTGGTTTTGCAAATAGGACATAAGAGTTATCGAAGAGGCCACTTGTAGTGGTATTCTGCAGAATACTATTGTACAGAATATTCTACCCAGAATACTATTGAACATGCAAGCTCTCGGTTTTTTACGCTTGTAACAAGTTGGGATGTGTGCTTATGCTTTTTGTCCCGTGAACGTTTTTTCTTCTTACTGACACAGGACCTGGAACTCTCTGTCGGCAACAATGCCTCGGCCACTTTGCCCAGCCCAGCCACTAGCCGTGCTTCTATCAGGCGAGAGCTCACTCGTAGCTTTGCTCTTTATGAGTCATTTGATGCCATTCTTCAAAGTCGCAGTTCCATTGTATTTCATCTATCTTATCAGTTGCGACGCTGACATGTTCTTTTTATCTGTGTTTGCTGCAGGTTTGCATGTTCCTTACCGGCATCTGTGGAGCTTCGGCTAAGCTCGTCGGCGTCATGTCCTGAAAATAAGGCGAGTGTGTCGGGAGGTGCCATCAGTGGCAGGCAGATGTTCTCGCCTTGCTCTCAGAGCAGTTCCATACAAATTGTATTTTTCTTGGCTCGCCATATTTCGGGTTTTATGTGTTTGGAAGTCCCTCATGAACATCTTTGTCATACCATGCCATTACTGTGGCATATTGCTCTATTCAATTACAAATCTATCAATTGGTTAAGAACGGAACATTCGACTTAACAGGTTTATACAGTTGAGCCCATTTATAATGAGCCTGAGCCTGACGCGGAATCCGTTTGCTGTATCCCAAAGTTCGTAGTAAATGAAACACAGCTTTTAAAGAAGTTGCGAGTGTAAACACAAAATTTTTTGGCCAAAAAAGTTCGTGATGCATGTGTTCCAAAAAGCAGAAGCGATAAGGGCGGTCTCGAGTTTATTCCAAACGGCAGCGTGCTCTTCGCTGAGGCCCGTGGCATAAGCTGCATGAGGCACTGGCTCCAAAGTCTCGTCGGTCTCACAATCCGATTCCTCCAAATTGCCCTTGCCGCATACTTAATTCACAATGCCCTAATCCGTGCACGGTTCCGCGGTGTCGGCAATATCATCGGCTGTAATTAAACCATCGCAACAGATGTCCCACCTGCTCTGCCCGGTCAGAGTCGACGACGCGCTGCCACAAGTCACCACCGGAGTGGTCCTGTTCGGAAGCTTCAGGCTTGGCATCGGGCTCGACGTCGACGAAGTCGGCTTCCCGAAAACAGTTTCGCGCGCATGTAGGTGTCACCGCAGCCCATGAAGTATTTATCTCCACAGCTGAATACCGGGACACCCGAAGCGGCAAGTTGGCTGCCAGGTGGTCAACAGCTATGAGCAAGCGCGCTGCGCAATGTGGCACCTGATGCGCGGTTTACGCCCAAGCCAAGCGGTCACACTTACGACGTTTTGTTGAGCGGAACGAAAAAAGCATGCAAGGCCTCTTGTCTGCCATCCTGAGACACGCACACCGAGAGCGAGCAAGACGTGCACATGCAACACACATGCAAGAATGCGTGGTACAGCTCTGGGCCCGTTTCTAGTCAAAAAACAAAACTTCTGAATTCGAGTCAACGTGGCAGGCGTCGCTGAGCAGTGGAGACAGGCGAAGGAGTTGTGTCAAGAGAGGAAAGCCGATTTGCGAGAGAAGGGCAAGGAGTTGTGATAGAGTGAAGAGAGGGGAGGATGCGGCCGGGAGGTGACCTTGAAAACCAAAACACGGGAAGGAGGCAGGTCCGGCAGCTTGCTTGAAAGGTCCGCAAAACGTGCAACTCGCGCATAGTTGGCACGCACAAAGGTCTAAGCACGGCCGCCTGGATCAGTGCGTGTGGCGGTGTTCAAAGAATCGGCGGTCGTGGCCAAAGAATCGTTTTGTTGCGCCAGCGGGCTTGCGTGGCCTCACCGACTTCGATATTTTGCGATTCGTTTCGCGCAAATTAATGGCCGTTTTTACGCTTCCACATGCGTGCAGAGGGCATGCTAGGCGTAGTGTGAAGTGAGCGAGAACAGGTCCTAAACACGAAAAGAATCGTGAATGATCAGAGTGGGCGGGGTAGCGTACGCGCGTGCTCTAGAACGATACAATAAGACAAGACGCAGACGATCGGATACAGACGATGTTGGCAAATGGTCTGGTCACTCCAGGCTGGCGACGGTAACGACAGTACCAGCGATCAAAAACAGGGGAGATAACCGACCCGTCTTTGAAAGATTGGTGGCAGTGTGAAAACACTGGCCTCGTCTGGCGATGTGGGGTGCCTCAGAGTAGCGGGGCAACAAAAGACGGAAGGGTACTTAACAGAGCGATCGGGGAGAGCGGCAACTAGGGAACTAACGGGGCGCGTAGGCAGGGTTGGCATTTAACAATAAGAATTTATGGGCACCTCGCCGATGCCTCATCTGTGGTCAAAAGTGGTCTCCCGGGAAGTCACCAGAGCGCCGACTCCGTTCGCTGTAACCGATCGGCGGTGCTCGGAGACGTTCGTTGTAAGTGTGATTTTGTGTCATTGAAACAATGTATATTTTCACGGTCACACAAATATTGTTCGTTTTAAGCGAAAGTTCATTTTAAGTGGGGTCGTTATATGTGGGCTCGACTGTATAACCAGTGCACGTTAAAGAACACAAAATGGTCAAAATTTTTGGAGCCCTCCGCTACGGCATTTCTCATAATTAGGCTTGTGCAAAGTAGTAGAATGCTTAGAATATTCGAATGAATATTACTGTATTTGAATTCATCTTTGTTCGAATTTAATTTCTTGAAAATGTCGATGTATTCGAAAGGAATGGATAAAACTATACATTAGTCCACATGCAACTTCCTGTAGATGGGGTTTCACTGTAGCAGAGGGATGCTATGCCATGAAAGCATTTTTTTTAATGTACATGTTAGTATTTAAAGGGACACTATAGCCAACTATTAAGTCGACGTTGATTGTTGAAATGGAGGTCCAGAAACCTCGTAGTGTTACTTTGGTGCCAAGGAAGAGCCTGTTTTGAAAAAAATCATGTTTAGTGCTCCGCATCGGGTTAGCGCGCTTCTAATTACCCGCCTCAAGAAGCGGAACGAGTGGCCCGTCTCACATCACTGTTGCCGTGCACAATGTTGCCCGGCTTTACTGCGCTAGTAGCAGCAGACTGAAATCAGCGGGAGCCACAGCAGCAACAACGTCCATTGATCAATTTCCCGCAATTGGCTTTTAGATTGCAGACGCTTTTGTTTCAACTGCACCCCGCTGGATCGCACCACCTGTCCCATGTAACCATGCGAAAATTGAATTTTTGAACCACTTGCGCCATTCTCCATAGTAACGTCCGGCGGTTCTTTTTTGCATGAATCAAACAGAAACAGAAAATCAGCATTTTATTGCATCTGTTGATGCACGGAAGGCTCTTTATTTAGTGCAGTTACATCGATTACTAGTGATTAATTGTAGGCGGTCCGTCTGATGTCATCGGGATCATTTTGAAAATGTCCTACTGTGGCACTTGTGTTCTGGTGCATTTACCTTAATTTCTCTGGAGGGGGCTGTTGATGGTATTGTTGTTTTATATGTCATAAATTGAGCTTTCACTCTGACGTGAATTGTTATTTGACTTTAGTGTCCCTTTAACTTTTTTGTAAAAGTGGTTTCATTGCAGTAGAGGAGTGCTAAACCATGAAAACACCTATTTTGGAAAAACCTGCACTGCTGCAAAGCCCCACTTTAAGGTTAAATGAACATATTGCCCTCGCATCTATTGATAATTTTTTAAAAAACAAAACCTTTTGCCAGCTTATATGCTCCAAGTTTGGTAAACTTTAAAGCATAACATATTTTACAGGTTGTCACTTGCATTGTACCAAAAGTCAAATCCTACTACTATTCAAAGTTGTTTCCACTTCTTTGAGCCAAAAGAATAGAATTTTTAAATGGCCTGTTTCAAAAAAAAAAAAAAAAAAGCATTGCACGTGGTACTAATATGCCCATCACAAATACGTGATATGCACTGTTCGAATTCGATTCAAAATTATTTGACCAAAATGTCTATTCACTTCGAATTCACTTCAAACTTCAAATACACTATTGGTACTGGCCTACTCATAATCATATCATGGTTTTTGAGGTGTCAAGTCGCACATAATATTTTTAGGTTTATATCATCCAGGCAAGACGTGTTCCAACACCTAGCAAGTGTGTATAATTGGCAAACGCAATGCATGCAAATGCCGTGAATAATATTCCGTTCAAGCTGAAACATCTGCAGAAACAGAGGTGCTGATAAAAGCGCACCACAAGAAAACGTGCACCACGTGACAATGTCAGAGGGTTCAGTCGGTCACTCTGGTTGGCTCAGCTCGATGCTTGTGGTTGTGTTAGTAATGATGGTTGTGGTGATGACTGTGACAGTAACATCAGCAGCATTTGGAGCAGCGGCGGTGTGGTCGATGGCAGTTGCAGCTTTAACCGCGAAGCTGTTTTGCTAGTTGTTCCTTGTCAGAAAAACCAAAAACTTTTGTCAATGGGTATGTGCCATGTAAATTAGGTGAATTCCACTGCCCTCTACTGGTCCACTGAAAAATACAAAAAGTCAAGAGTTAACACAATCGATCTGCCACAGAAATTGGGTAAATCTCACCAGTTCGCTAAAAAGGAAGAAGGCAACAATCGGCTCATTAAATGGCAGTGAAGCAACAGCGTTGAGCTGTGCACCCAGTGTACGTACTACAAGAGAATACTAGCTCACTGAAAAGGCGACTGCGGCTGTGAGAAGGTTGCGATGTGACGAAAAGCCTATGCCAACAACCACTTGCCCGTAGATCTGTGAGAAATAAAATGCTCAGTCTCAGCTTGACTTTCTGTCACCGAGGTTTGGAGACGAGTGTCGTGTGAGCCTCTCTGTGCTGAGAATCTATGTAGACAGAACCTAGCATCACCTAGCTCAAGCCTAGCAATCACCTAAAATGACCCACATCACTTAGCTAAGATCTAGAAGCAACCAGATTAGTCTCCCGAATTACTGAGTTTCTCACTGTTTCAAAGCCTTTTGCGGCTTTGTGTAAGCTTCGCCAATTTTATTTTAACAGCGGAGCTTTTCTAAGTCATGTTTGTGAGTCTCAGAGGCATGGTAACACCATAGTGCAATGGGGCGCAGCCTGTTGAAAATTTGAGGGGGCCCACTGCCAATTGAATGTTGGCTGTATTTGTCTTCGGGAAGGTCGAACAGTTCGAATAGTGAAATTCCGGTGCAAATAAAATCAAATAGCTAGCACTATTGGAAAAATGTCCGAAATTTTGAATATTCGCTCACTCTTTCTCCAAATGAGACTAAGCTGTCTTGGCCTGCCCTAACATAAATTCGCGCACTGACAGCTTTGTGTTCCAACACTTTTCACGATGTGAACCTGGCTGAATCCTCTTGCAACAAAGCAGAAGCTTGTGGGAAAAACAAAAGATAGTCAGAACGCTTTACTTTATTGGATGGAGCTTAGACTTCTTATAATGAATAGGCTAGGTGACTTGTCACCATCAAAGCAAATGAGACCATTATGACCATTATAAGATGGACTCTTTATGCTTTCTTGGTTGTTTCAGTCAACTTACACTTCTTCTTGTCTTCGTGTTTTAACAGGTGCCAAGCAGTGGTGGTCCCCTAGAGGTGGAGCTGGTTGTGCGGGATGCCGAGGGCCGGCAGCTAGCCAATACGTCGTCCCTCGACGTGCTGTGGGAACTGTCGGACTCCACCCTCGCCAAGCTGGCAAATGAGTGGGACGTGATGAGCCATGTGGACAGCTCGGCCGGTTACCGTCAAGTCATTCGAGGTGGGTCTGCTCACGACGTTGAGGGAATGTCTTTGAAAACTGTGCCTAAAGGGACACTAAAGAGGGACAATGACTTGGTTTAAATTAGCATACTGCACTCTGAGAACTCTGACGTCTTATGTTACTTTATCATGAGTTCATTATTAGTGGAGAAAATCAAGGTTGAAGTTTCATTTTCAAATTTCGCGCCGAAAGCTCCGCGCGTGATGCAAGAAATTTCGAATCGTACTTTCGGTACTTTCGTGGCATTTACTCGATAAAACTTTCTGAAACTTCGTTGGCTGACTCTATGGCACCTACAGATTACAATGTACTACATTTTTATTAATTGGAAACTACGTAGACACAGTAGACGTCTTCGAAATTTCTTACGTCGCAACGTTTAGTGCGGGAATCTCAAAGTGGCGTTGCCAACCCGCATTTTTTTTTTCGTGCGTTTTTACGCTTGCAAAGCGTTGTTGATGGCGGTAAGAGTGGTGTATTCGGGATTGTGAAATTGTTCTTTACTAACACGTGAAAAAAGTTTTTCCTCATTAGTATCCCTTTAACGTCAATGTCTTCAGTGTGGTCTGCAACATGTTATCACAGCATAAACTGAAGCGTTATCACAGAGCGATTCTATTGCGATTTTATGACTATTTTATGCCTTTGTTTTTTGCTGCCACCATTGGTCATAATTTTGTGCTGCACCTTGTTCAGACAATAAGGTTTGACAAAATGTGTGGAAAAACCCAAAGCTCAAATGAATGCTTCTATGGGATGCTCTGGCACCTTTTTCCAAAGATCTCTATGCGAGCCTGCACTCTGTTTTGTCTGAACTAAAATATTTGTGTATGTCAGTTTAACGATGGAAACACTGGTGCACTGGACATCTCGAGGCAGGCTGGTGTCAATCGTGGCTGCTACATTACAGAAGCTTTCCTGAGTTTGGTCTGAACTCTCTTGAAGCCACTAGTTGACGGCTGGTGGGAAAAAAAAAAAACCATCTAAAAGCCGCTAAACACTCACAGTGAACTTTTCGCCTAATGTAAGATATTTAGCGCAACTTTGTACTCCTGCAAACACTCATACATTCATACACTCTCCCACCTGAGAAACACATAGTGCTGTGTGTGGTGTGTGTTTCTCAGCTGTAAGAGTGAGCAGACGTAGGAGTGTTTGGGTGCGAGTACAAAGTTGCGCTAAATATCTTACAATACGATGAATTGCCAACTAGCCCAACAACAAGCTTTGTTGAACTTGTGGCTGTCAAGGAAGGTCCAAGCTATGAGCCTGGTGGCCTTTTGCGTCCGAGAACGTCCCACTGATGCATGTAACGCGTTTGGAAACCTTCCTTTCTGTTTACTTGGGGACATTTTCATTTTTTTTTTTTGCCAAGGAAAAAGTGACACCTTTTGAACAAACCAATGCTTTTTGGTGAATCTTCCCGTGCTTCTTTCTGGAACGTTAATCTATGCAATCAACAAGATAATTGAAAACCACAAAAAACTTCTGATGCTATAAAGTTTTGGCTGAAATGAAAACTCCTGAAATAACGCACTTCTTGGTTTTTCGCCTGTATCGAACTCAATATTAATGGCAGCGCCAAGATTCCAGTTCATTGCACAGCGTGCATGTAAAGCCACATTGCTGCCAAGTCACTTTTGTGTTCTATCACAGAATCGGCACTGTTCACCTGATGGACATACCATAGTTACTCGAATCTAACGCGCACCTTTTTTCCGGTTAAGCGAGTTCATAAATCGCATGCGCGTTAGAATCGAGTACGAACAAAAAAATTACGGTCAATCTATTGCCATCGGCAAATCCAAAAATGCCGCCCCCTACGTGCGTCGGCATGGCGCGTCGGCCATTTGTGCCTATGTGTTTCCCATGTGCGGCACTTCGTACGTTTGCTGAGGAGTTTGTCATCTAGTAGTGCGTTAGCATCGACGGCGTGGAAGGGCAGACTCCAAAAACTTGAGTGCACCACGATGCCGCTTTTAAAAGAAAAGTCATCGCGTGTGCAGAAACGGACAAAAATCGGGCCGCATCGCGGTCGTTCGGAGTTCCCGAAATGTGCGTGCGGGACCGGCGGAAACAAAAGCAGAAGATTGTCGACAGCAAAGCTTCACGCAAAGGCTTCAGTGGACCACAGCAGGGTCGGTTTCCGCAAATTAAAGAGCTTCTCGGCGAGTATGTGCTTGAGCAGCGAGCGGCACAGCGGCCCGTGACGACAGAACTGCTCCAAGTGCGGGCTATGCAATTAGTCTTAGAAAAAGGTCTAATGCGGAGCCAGTTTAAAGCGAGCAGGGGCTGGATAATTAACTTTATGAAGAGGAAAGGCTTTTCCCTTTGAAGGGGAACATGCATATGCGAAAAGTTTTGCGGAGGAGTACGATGAAAAGCTTCACAGTTTTCAGAGGTTCGTCCTAAACTTGCGGCGCAACAACAGCTACCTGCTTGGGCAAATCGGAAATGCCGATCAGACGCCTCTTTACTTCGACATGCCTGGCACCACAACCATCGAGAAGAAGGGGGCGAAGCAAGTTCGCGTGCTAACATCGGTCCACGGTAAAACTACAGTGACGGCAATGCTCTGTTACACGTCAGATGGGCACAAGCTTCGCCCGTACCTCATATTTAAATGGAAGACGCTCCCGAAAGGAGTCGTTTTTTCGAGTGGTGTGATCGTGCGGGCCAGCGAGAAAAATGGGTGCGCATTGCAATCGATGTCTTAAGTTTTTTTTTTTTTTTTTTTCGCAGTGGAAATCGGGTGCGTGTTACAATCGAGGGCGCGGTAGAATCGAGCAAATACAGTAATTAGTTTAACTTCAGTAATTTAATCGTGCCCTGCCACCATGATCTAGTGGCTAAGGCACTCGGCTACTGACTCGCAGGTCGCGGGATCGAATCCTGGCCACGGTGGCCGCACTTTCGATGGAGGCGAAAATCGTTGAGGCCCGTTAACTTGGATTTAGGCGCACATTAAAGAAACCCAGGTGGTCAAAATTTTCGGAGCCCTCCACTACGGCGTCTCTCATAATCATATGGTGGTTTTGGGATGTTAAATTTCAACAATTAATAAAGTAAATACATTGTGATGAAGTTCATTTTTCTTTGCCAAATGTGCTTAGTGTCTTTTCAAAGAACTCTTTTTAAGGCAGACACAAAGCAATCTGTTTAGAAATCTAAAAAAAGTTTCACAAAAAGTTGGGAGCATATCTTAATGCAGTGATTGAGTTATCAGCTATTGCTCGACATCGTACGAGTGCACACGAGTGTTTCTAGGATAATTAGATATATGATGATTACTTCAGCATATTGCTGAGGTTGTATAGAAGCTACTTGCTTCTTTATAATGATATGTAAATGGCAAGAACACAGCAAGATTTGGCAAGTTTACTTCACTATACTATGCTACTGCAGACAGTGGGCTTTTCTTTTTCTGATTCTAAAAATTCAAAAATTGCAACTGATTATTTTTTAAAGATAGCTTTATTTCTCTTCTAAATGTTAGCCATGTTCATAGCCTGAGTTCTCATATTTGTGTTGCTGGTTGCCTAGACTTTCAAGTTCTGCAGACGCAAGGAAAGACTGGACTGCTCACAGTTACTGCAACGGTGCTTGGCTTCAGTGCGAAAGTGCTTCAACAGGCGGGTTTGCACCAATACAAGGTGCGTTGTCATGGTAATCCGTGGTACACTTACGTTGTCTTGTAGGACTAATCTAGACTGGTTGGTACTTGTTTATTCTTAATGTACCTATGTAATCTGGACCTTGGCACCGTGATGTAGCTGGCATCCTTATGTGCACGTGAACTATGAAGCAATGATAGAAGCTAAGGGATTTTCAGTGCCAGATGACCCTGCCATAGTGGTCTAGTGGTCATGACGCTTGACTGATAACCCGACGATTGAGAGACCAAGTCCCAGCCTTGCGGGCAAATTTCATTAAATGCGAAATACCTGAACACAGGTTCTCAAACTGTATTCTGTGAAACCCAAGGTTCTGGTAAGGGCACGTAAGGATTCTGTGAACTCGTACATTAAGTGTGACCAGCTCCCATGTTACCCTCGTTAGCACCTAGTTTGCCTAGGCGAGGAAGCTCGCATTGCATTTTGCATTTAACAAAGCCATCGCACGCTATATCCACACATTAGATTAGGTAGCAAGATACCCATGTTGTAGCAGCACTAAAGACTTGTAATTTTCTGTGCATCATGAAACTCCAGCGATATGCAGATCGATTGTGACAGACAACACGGTGCATTTGAACTACCTAATTCATGCTCATAAGCGCAGTTTGTAGCACATGTGCGGCAATCAATATGGCAATTTTGCAAGCCTTGATGCAAACTACAAGCCCAGTTCAAATGACACTAATAAGCTTCAAGACACTTTATTCATGGCTCATGGCGTGCAGGTGTTGTTGTGGCAGTATTTTCATACTCGTTGATTTGCCACTGCACTATGGTAGTTCTGTAATGAAAGCTTTTTTGGGGCACTTTCACGTGGGCAATAGGCATTGCTTCTTGTCGTCAGGGAATTATCTGAACATTGCAACTTGACCTTGCGACCGTTGTATCGGTTGACAGCAATTTCGCTGGGCGACTGCCATGTTGTTTTGTTTTGTTTTGGAAAAAATCAGGCTGGCCTTTGTCCATGCGGCACTTCATTAACATGAACACATCGCTTATGGCACTGGGTGCCTGAAGCATGCGAAGCATTTTATGCGACTTACACAAGGATGTTCGCAGAAATCAAAAGTCTATGTATTATTGGGAGTCCCATATCAACAGGGCTGGCCTTCAACATAAACATGACAAACCACTCGCACACGGTATTAATACTGTGGTTACACGTGTCAAAAGGCGTTGCAGCGTCTTACAGTGCTTCTTCGCCATTCGCACAGGTGCAGACAGTGAGCGGCTCGTTGCAGCTGGAACTGGTGGAAGCTGCCCGTCTGTCGAGTGGAAGCGTACGAGTGCTTGCACACCCGTCTCATCAGGTGAGTGGTTTCAGTTCCTTCGGCGGTCCTAACTTTGATGTACTACTCTGAGAAACACATGCAGAATCGTTGAAGAGAGGGAAGACCCTAGTGGGCAGAGACGGGCTGCTGGAGCTGGAACACCCGTAGGAGATAGCTTTCTGCAACTCCTGTCGTAGGTGAATGTCACAGTGGTGACAGGCTGAAGGTGGGCCACTTGACATGGTTGATTTAAGGTTAGCAATGATAGAGAACAAACTGGCCACATGCTTCTGGATATGCGTTGAGGAGGCTTATTGCCTTGACAAACTTTTAGGTCTGAGAGCTGATTTTTGTATTTCAACTCAGCTGCGAGGTCACAAGAAACTTGACCTTGGCATCTTCTAAGCCCTTTGGAATAATCGGTCAAATATCATCACTGGAGCGAAATTCTCAGGCAAGCACCCGGTTATGTCGCCGTGAGAGTGTCGTAGCCGAGGTTGGCTGGTGGAGAGGCCCAGTGAAGAGGCTAGTTTGCACATGCGCAGCGGCAGTGACGTCACACACACCGTGTTTTTTTTTGTGTAATTGGGTGGCGACATTTGTGAATTATCACGAGGAAAACCGGGCCCCTGAGATTGTTTACTGACGCACGACAAACAACTTGTGAGGCCACTGACCCCAGTTTTAATTTCGGCGATATCCTCTAGAGATGTTGTTCGGACGTGAAAAAGGCTCACTTCCAGAGCACTTCATGCACTCTCATAATTTTATAGTGTTTTTGTGATTTAGAACCCCAACAATTATTATTGAGAAACACACACCCTGTTGCGTGAAAATTGTGGTGTTAATGTTTCCGTCTTGCATCTGCAGGTGAACGTGAGCATACTGAACGGCTCGGGCCACTTTGCTTTAGACAGCGTGGATGGCGACGCTCCCGCAGGACTGACACTATTGCCGAGGAAGATTCTGTTGCATGGACTGAGAGAAGGACAGGTCGAGGTTCACCTGCGTGACCTCTGCCTGCCCCGTGCCCCTGCGTTGCCGTTACAAGTGTCTGTCGTGTGGCCCGCCCAGCTGCGGCTCGCGCTGTCCTCTCCCCACGTGCAAGTCGGCGCAGAAGTGGATGTCACGGTGTACCTGGAGGACGTGGAGGGCAAGCCGCTCTCGGCTCCACTGGCCCTCGCCAGCCGAACCGTGGGTCCCCTGTCTCTGCGACCACTGGAGGAGGGACGAAACTGCCGCCGTTTTGCTGTCCGTGGCAAGGCCCTGGGCTCTGGCACCGTGCAGTTCGTGGCCAAGGACTTCCCCGAGGAGCTACTCAGTGCCCCGGCCACCGTCCAAGTCTTTGCCCCACTACGCCTAGAGCCCCGAAACCTGACCATACCTGTCGGCTCTGAGTACCAGGTGCGGGTTTGACCACTGGCCAAGAGGCTGTCGCCAGCTTTTTTGTGATTTATTTGTCCTGGTTCCAGTGGTTTCGAATCTCTAACCAGGATGTATTTTTGTCAAGGCTTTCTTTCTTGAAAATCCGCATAACTTTTATTTTATTCTATTTTTCTTCTTTTTTGTAGCTTCACGGGGGTACAGTAACTAGAAATGGCAGACTTTTTTTTGGGGGGAGGGGGGTCATGGTCGTAGTTTCTGCATGTGGGCTTGCCAAGGGCAAACAAATGGAGAGGATAGTTTTCAACTATCATAGAACAAGTCCAATTATTCATGGTGAAAATGTAAACAATTGCCATTTATTACATGGCAATGTGTCGGGAACCTTGATAATGATGCTGATGTGCTAGTTGATGTCAGTAACTTTATCAAGGGGTCTTACTTTGCTTGAATTGCTTTCCCAGTTTGTGGCTCGCTCCAGCAAAGCCCTCAAACATTCAACATGGCCGTTGCAGCATCCTATCACTTCAGTTGCATAAAATGCCCACCCACTGTTTCCAGGAGGCAGCGGGCGACACCATTCGATGCTTGTGACGAGACACATTGCAGCTTCTTCACTTTTGCATGTCCGTTAGCGCAATGTTCTTGCTTGCAAAGTTCGGGTTCACCTCGTACATCACGGCGCCTTGAGTGGAGTTAGGTCTATCCTCTACTCAAAGTAAGCTCAGTTGCAGTGTGCATATCTACGGTGTATGCACACTGCAAGTACGTATGTCACGCTCTATCGTGAGTACTTGTTCCGCAATAATTTTTGTCACAAGGTCTAAAGTGGTGATGAGAAAAATGTCTAGCCGTGAGCTGGTCTGAGACGAGAGCCTGTTACGTCCGCGACGAGTGCAGCGTACTGGTGTAATCTGGTTGAGCTTCCGCTTGTAATGGCTGCTAAACAGAAGCGTAAGTGTTTGCTAAATGATGGCTGACGCAGAACGAGTGGGAATGCGTCACTAAGTAGAGAGATTTTCGACAGCTGTAGCCTCGCTATGCTTAAGCAGCAGGTGCTGTCCCGAAGCAAAGGATCAGGCTAATGGCGAGATGGGCTGGAGCAACTTTGCAGACTTAGTCAATCAGAAGCCTTGCAACAAACTTTGAACATTTGCTTTTATCTTATCTGATGAGCACAAAATGGTCGTGCCCTGTTGTGCTGTTGTGCAGCTATAATTTTTTTTTAAACGCTGCTTTCTGAAACACAATGATTTTGGCTGTGTCAGCAGATGCAATACATTTTGACAGCATCTTTAGGTAGTCCTCAGTAAACATATTTCAGAATTCGAGACAAAAAGGGCTGTATAAGCTGAAAATGGGATACGGAAAAATTTGTTTTTCGAGCACTCGTCCAGCTTTCGCAAATACGAGGAGCGGATAAAGCAAGTGACCCCTCCTTCTGGCACTGTTGCTGGCGCCAATGTGTGATGTGCGGTCGAGACCACTTTCTTTAACCGAGTCACGTAACGGACGCAATTCAGCCTCCGTGTTTTCTCATTCCTTAGGAGACGTCTAAAGAACCAGACATAGCAGTGCCCCTCCAGTGCATCACCAACCTAACCGATAGAAACACTTCTGTGTTCCTACCTCGTAACAACATGCTTAGATGTTTTTTACAACCTTTTTTCTGTAATTCGCCTTCAAAGTATTTGCCTGAGTCTTACCGTGATGGTGAGCTGTGGAATACTACAACAAAAGCTTGCAGCTCCACAAACGGTGATGATGCAATTCCCAAGTACGGTTCAATGTGTAAGGACGTCGTTCTGGCTAATTGATACACAATGTTGTGTTATCATACTGGTTTGTACAGCCACGATCGTAGAGGCACAAGCACCATGTTGGACTCTCGCATTCTTAATGTAAAAATTGTTTGATTTACTTTTTTTGCTCTGTTCCAGTAACATTGGCATCTAACGTCGGATTGCAAAGTGAAGTGTGTGTACATGTGCAGTTGGGATGGTCGGGAGGCCCAATCAACATGGCTGTCAAGTTCGACATGGTCGACGAGGTGCCGTGCCTGTCGGTGTCACCGAGTGGACTGCTGCAGGCACGGGGCCCACCGTGCCAGGGCCGGGTACAGGCCACGGCAGCAGCTTCTGATGGCAGAGACGAGACGCTGGTGCATGTGGTGGCCATCAAAGAGTTGCGGCTGCGCTGCCCCTTGCGAGAGATCATTCAGGGCACGGAGGTGGGTCCCCATTGAATTGCACTTAAAAACATGCAAGCTGATTTCATAAGTTTATAGTCGCTGGACTGACTATATGTTGACTGACTTCATACGTTCATCACCCCCATTCCTATCACACACTTCTCTGTACTCTCCTTGTAAAAAGTAGAGCTTGCATATTTTAAGTAGGAACATTTTGCGAACCAGCACCACAACATGTTTATTTTAATGTGAAGACACAAAATGTGAATGCCAATCAGCGAAGGTGGCATCATGGCGATACCTAACGCCTACGCACAGAAGCTATCTTAGCCACAATATGTGGGGATTGCATTTTTTCCGAAAGCTTTCTGCGAATTGCTGTGAGTTAGGGTTATATGCAAGAAAATGCAGTATACGTATGTGACAGCTAGCACCAGAGCGCCAGAGCAATGTCATAACCAACTCACAGTTTACCGATTCTTCATTTGTCCTGCTGGAAGTGGTGCTACTAGTTTCCATTTCAAGGTCGACTCCCCAACTTAGTATTTCAAGTTTTGATAAAATAGGTCGATTCACAATAGTGTAAATACAATATGGCTTATGCATACTGCGACAGTATAGTATACTATATATTAGTTAGGCTTGTGTGAATACCAAAGTTCAGGTTTGAAGCAAACAGTCATTTTGTTTAAATTCGAATAGTATATATTGCATAGTATTTTAAAAATGGGCATATTTTTCATATATATATATATATATATATATATATATATATATATATATATATATATATATATATATATATATATATATATATATATATTTTTTTTTTATTGAATCAAGACATGTGCAAATGTAATTCATTTTGGTTCAAAGGAAGTGGAAGCAACTTTGAATAGTAGCAGGATTTGACTTTTGGTAGAAATGAGTTTTTAAACATTAAAATATTTTAAAATTAACTATCCTTATAGCATATAAGCCAGCATAACAAGCCTTTCAACTTGAAAAAGAAAGTTGACTTGACCGTAATTTGTTCATTTAACCTTGAAATAAGGCTCCATGGTAAGGCAGAATTTTTTTGCAAAAGTGCAGTCACGGCAAAGCGTTCCTCTACTGCAGTGAAACCACGTTTACAGGGGTTTACCAGCGGACTAATATATATTTGTTCATTTCAAATGCTTTGAAATTTTCGATAATTTCTATTCAAAACTAAGTTCAAGTACTTTAATGTTTGTTCAAATATTCGAGGTGCTCGAATATTCGCACAAGCGTAAATGGACATGACACTGCCTTAATTGTTGGTTCATATGTTGTCATCACTGTGATATTTAGTGAATGATTAATTCTTTATTAAAAGTTGCGGTAGTTCTCTTGCGTTCTCTTGTTAAAGACTGCATATATTAATAATAATTTTTTGTGTTTAATGTGCCAAAACCACAATGTGATTATAAGAGGCGCTGTAGGGGAGGGCTCCGAATATTTTGACTAGCTGTGAACGAGCCATATTAATGCTGAAAATATGAGGTTAAAGAGGTACGCTGAAGTAGAGCCCACTGTTCTTGCAGGTGGCTGTGCACGTGGAGGCTGCTGGAGGCCTGGGTCCGAAGGTGGTGTGCCTGTCGGCCGAAATTAGCCGCTCCTTGCGCTGGGCTGCCTCAGAACATGGTCTGGTGTCTCTGGTGGCGCCCTTGACTCGAGACGCGCCCCCGGATGGCCTGTGTGTGACACACTTGCGCGCCCTTCTGCCGGGACACCTGGAACTGCACCTCCTGTGGCAGAACCGCACTGCTGCAGTGTTGCCCCTCGAGGTATGACTGCTGCAGAGTGGGCCAATAAAATACAGTCACAGTATTCTTCTTGTGGGTTTCCCCCAATTACTCATGATATTGACTAAACAGACAGCCAAGGGAACAGCACCTATTCTATGGGTCTTGAACCGTTTTTCCTGGTAGTCATCGAACGATATCGTTTTTTGAGTTTAATGCTTGAGAATTGAGCAACAATTTCTCATATTCGTCATGAACGAGCAGTTTTGCTAGGGCTTGTCACGCTCTTTAAGGGCTTCTTCTCCCTTCTCATCCTGACAAGCGTGCTGGACGCTATACAGGACAGAGTGGCAGAGGGGAAAGAAGTTGCATTGACCTGTGTCAATGCTACAAAAGGAGAGGGAGGCATTTGCACAGGGCTTGTTTCAATTTAAAAAATATATATATTGGGCGGGTTAGGCTATAACATATATGCCTTTATTTTTCACATGATATATACTATTTGATTCAGAATTAATCGACCCATTGTTGTTCGCTTTGAGTTCGCTTGGAACCTAAAATTCACTTTTGCACACGCCTATTATGCTGACATTGCACTGATGCAGAGATAGGGTGCGCACTACTGGTAGTACCTACTAACTTGCGCTAGGTCTTGAAGCAGTCGATCTTTTTGCAGGTGGTTCCACACGCTAAACTCCTGGCACCAGCCCTGACCCAGCCAGAGTCTCTGGTGCTGGGTCCCGGAGCACAGCTGGCCATCGACGTGTCAGGGTAAGCGGAATGACTTCGAAAGGCATTTGATGTTGCGAATATTTTTAATAGTGCTGGCTATTTGATTTGATTCGCACTGGAACTTTCACTGTTCGAACTACTCGGAACGTCCCAAAGACAAATGCAGTCAATGTTCAATTAAAAATAACCCTTTCAAATCATTATTATGCTTCACCTCATTACATTCTCGTATTGCGGCAAAGCTGTCTTTCAGGCTTCGTTAGTGTCGCAAGTGTATTGACTCAAAAAAACGCTGGTTCCAACATGGAAATGATGAATGTGGCAGAGGTGGGGGCTCAATTAATGCTGTTTTGGTCCTGAAATTTGGGTAGGAAGATTGAAAAACCAGATGCCGAAGATTTTTGCCATCCAAAATTTAAAATTTTTATGTATGTTGACGTCAATGAAACTGATTTGGAACTCCTAACTAGAAGGGAGCACTGCTTTGCCTGCCACATCTGTTGGGCTTGCACAGAAGTTGAAAGAGGAGGAAAGGCTGAGGAAATGCCGTATTTACTCGCATAATTCCCGCACTTTTTTTTGCGTAAAATTGATGCTAAGTTGGGGGGCGCGAGAATTACGCAGGGAAAACTTTCCACTAAAGCATACATAGCGAGAGAAAAAAATGAAATGGCCACAAATGGGGATTCTCGCATCAGCAACTAACAGCAAGCTTTGAGAAGTACTAATTAAAACTTATTTCGACAATAAAAGCACAGGTTCAACACAAGCCAAGATTTATTTGAGACGCGAAAAGTGCAAGCAAATAGTCGAGAATTAGAATACCATGCACGAAGCTTGTAGGCGTTGCCGGCGTTGTAGTAGGGTTCGTCCCTCAACAGGAGCCCTCAAAAGGTAATCGTAGGACGTCAGTATTGGGCTAATGGCTATTTAACAGAATTGTCCGCAGTTTCCTTTTGAAGAAATAAAGTTTACCATCAATCCCAGTTTTAGGCACACGGCAGGCCCAACGCGTCTTGGTGGCTTTCAGCTGTCGTCATCAGTAGCGAACACAAAACTCATAGACTCCGAAGGGCCTACTGGCGGCTCTGTTGTCGTTGTTTAGTGCATGATCTATCACTTTGAACTTGAGAGCACACGTGTAGCTTCAGCATTACCCCATAATGCGACATGATTACCGACTCAACATACAAAACGTGCCGCAACGCACACTTGCCACTTTGGCTTGGCTTAAATTAAATTGAATTTCTGTGTAATAATAGTACGCTTGATGATTGAGAGATGGCGCCAGATGACGCACGCTATCATCATCAGTGGATGGAATAAGTAGACGACATTATTGCGGCAGTTTTCGGGGGTGCGATAATTACTCGAGGGAAAAAAGAAACTGTATTTTTGTTGGGCGATGTGGGGTCTGCGAGAATTATGCGAGTGCGAGGATTACACGAGTAAATACGGTAGCATCTTTGCCTTTCACATGCGAAGCGCTGTGGACAACACTATGGCTGCACCAAATCGTGTACTAATACAGTTCGACTTCCACACAGCCTTATTCTTGATAGGACAACGATGAAATGCCACTCCACCAACGCTTCATCAACATGACATAAAGAAACACTTTCATGTTGCCATATCTCATAAGGATATGCTTAGGAATCCTGTCCAACCATTTTTCTGCCATTTCGCTTCGAATTATTTGAAAAAGATTCTAGATATATTGATAAAATATTTAAAAAATATATTCGATTCGATTAGCGCTCGCACTTCAATATTCGAGTTTGCTTCGCAACCAAAATTTTGTGCTCCGCGCAGCTCTACACATTTGTAGCTTGTGTTGGCCTGCCTGCACGTGCTCGATGCAGCGATTGCATAGGTGGCTGCAAAGGTTGGTCGTTTATGCACTCCCTCTTCCCATGTACTTAATATTGTCGACTGCTGGTTCAAAGGCTGTGGGATCAAACCCTGGCTGCCGCGGCTGCGTTCCAATGGAGGGTGAATGCTAAAGGACCATGTGCTTTGATTCAGGTGCACATTAAAGGAAACCAGGTGTTCTAAATTGTTGAAGCCCTTCACTGTGGTGTCTCCTATAATCATATTTTGGCTTTGGGATGTAAAACCTCAACGGTTACTGTCACTGTGGACACTCGAAAATACAAACTCAAAGGGACTTCAGAATTTTGTTTTAATCATCAGGAGTTCTCGTGAATGAGACACGGGGCAGTATACCAACTAGCAATGTGATGTTTGTTTCTTAGTACTGTAACAGCATCATGGACAGTTCTGCATAATTACTTGTAAAGTTTCTAGATGTCGACGATATTTAATATAGTGCATCGCGTGCCTGCATTTGTAAATGAGGGATGTGTTATGATACCGTAATTACTCGAATCTAACGCGCATCTTTTTTCCGGTTAGGCGAGTTCATAAATCGCATGCATGTTAGAATCGAGTACGAACAAAAGAATTACGGTCAATTTATTGCCATCAACAAATCCACAATGGCCGCCCCCTACGTGCATCGGCATGGCGCGTCGGCCATTTCTGCCTATGTGCTTCCCATGTGTGGCACTTTGTACGTGTCCTGAGAAGTTGGTCATCTAGTAGTGCATTAGCATCGACGGCGTGGAAGGGCCGACTCCAAAAACTCGAGTGCACCATGATGACGCTTTTAAAAGAAAAGTCATCGCGTGTGCAGAAACGGACGGAAATCGGGCCGCATCGCGGTCGTTCGGAGTTCCCGAAACGTGCGTGCGGGACCGGCGGAAACAAAAGCAGAAGATTGTCGACAGCAAAGCTTCACGCAAAGGCTTCAGTGGACCACAGCAGAGTCGGTTTCCGCAAATTAAAGAGCTGCTCGGCGAGTATGTGCTTGAGCAGCGAGCAGCACAGCGGCCCGTGACGACAGAACTGCTCCAAGTGCGGGCTATGCAATTAGTCTTAAAAAAAGATTTAATGCGGAGCCAGTTTAAAGCGAGCAGGTGCTGGCTAACTAACTTTATGAAGAGGAAAGGCTTTTCCCTCCGAAGGGGAACATGCATATGCAAAAAGTTTTGCGGAGGAGTACGATGAAAAGCTTCACAGTTTTCAGAGGTTTGTCCTAAACTTGCGGCGCAACAACGGCTACCTGCTTGGGCAAATCGAGAATGCTGATCAGACGCCTCTTATTTCGACATGCCTGGCACCACAATCGTCGAGAAGATGGGGGCGAAGCAAGTTCGCGTGCTGACATCAGTCCACGGTAAAACTACAGTGATGGCAATGCTCTGTTACACGTCAGATGGGCACAAGCTTCGCCTGTACCTCATATTTAAATGGAAGACGCTCCCGAAAGGAGTCGTTTTTTCGAGTGGTGTGATCGTGCGGGCCAGCGAGAAAAATGGGTGCGCGTTGCAATCGATGTCTTACGTTTTTTTTTTTTTCGCGGTGGAAATTGATTGCGCGTTACAATCGAGGGCGCGGTAGAATCGAGCAAATACGGTATGTGTTATGTTCCGTGACAGCTGGCAGCTCCTTCCTATCTTTAGGATGTTTTTTTGCATGACGTTGGTGTACTGCTGGAAAAGTGACGTTGAAAATGGTTTGGCACGTGATAGATGAAAGACGCGTTAGTTTTGTTTCTTTTCTCAGTTGGCATGCGATTGTAGGTATGTGCAGTTTAGCTAGTTTGGCGGCACTGTAGGTAGACAATTGTCTTCGCGACATAAAGCGGTGAATGTTCAACTAGAAGCAACAAAATCAGCAGGTATTTCCAGGCATGAAGTAGTAAATACAGTGAAATCTCGGTATTACAAACTTCAGGGGGCCGCGGCAATTCGTTCGTTATTTTGAAAGGTCGTTATTTTGAAAGTCCAAGAATTAACCATAAATACTTATTTTCCACCACCCAAAACGACTTACCTTTAAAACGATGTCTCTTCAAACTTGTTTTTTTTCACGAGAAAAAACAAATGCACAAGTGAACACTAAAAAATGCACGTTTACTTAAAAAAGTCTGTGATTTTTTTTTTTTTGACACGTGCAGCACAAACTTAACAGCGCGAAGGCCTCCAGCTCATCCAGATTCCTGTGGTTTGATTCGGTGGTGTGATCCACTTTCTCACTTAGCGAACTGCTTCCGCTTTTTCGTCTCAAGCAGAGGTGAGCTCATTGTACTAGCACCGCAGCGCGAACTCCGACTTGCATTGCAAGCGCGATAAGTAATCGCCAAAAAGAGATGAACACAACTGACAAGGCCTCCTAAAGCGCGTGCAGAAGTGGAAAAGATTAGAAAAACCCGGAGCGTATGGCTGTCATCGCTTCTTCCGAAGAAAAGAAAGAGCTAAAGAAGAAAGTTTCTCGCGTTTCGTTTTCTGCTCCCTCGCTGTCTCAGGTCTTCCGTGCCCATGCCTTCTGCTTCGCAACTCCCACTATGCCTCGCCGACTTTGCCCTCCCGTGTTGCCCTCGCCTCAGCACTTGTAAATGTGCAGCATCGGCGTTTCAACAAAAAGAAAGAAGAAAAAGTCCTTTCATTTTTCTGTTACCCTCTGCTCCGTCACGCGTGTTCCGAGAAGCAAGGTGTCCGTTCGCTGTGTCGTCTGCTTGCGTACTGCTTCAGTGGTCGCTACGTATTTCAGAACATGAGTTTGTTGTACTGAAGCGTTGTTAATATAACGCAGAACCAAATTAGCGCTTGTTATTCTGAAAAGTTAGGTATTCAGAATTACGTAGTAGGGAAATCATTTTACATTGAAAATATTACCAGTCGGTGCAGAATTTGTTAAATGTTCGTTAATCTGAAAAGTTTGTTAGTGGGGGGTTCGTTCTATCGAGATTTGACTGTAGTCTGAATGAACTGAATTTGTGCGCTGGAACAGTTTTTAATCAACTTTAAAATGCATTGAAGCCATAGCGGACCCAAAAATAAAAAAAAATTGTGTTAAATAATGGATACTTTGAACTAACAAGGTTTGAATTATGAGAGTCTAGTGTATTATATGTGTGCTTAGTGTCGGTTCTTTCATTTTTTGTTTCCAAGACGCGTCGAAGTGTGATGCAGTGGGATGGGACCCTTCCTCCGTAAGATGGTTGTAGGAGTGAGGAAGGGTGGCTCCTACAGTTGGAACTTGCAGCGAATTTCACCATTCATTTTCATAAACATACAAATACCAACGCAACTTTGAATGAGTCATTTGTAAGTTCATATTTAGAGATTTCAAGTATGATATCTTACCTTGTATGCTTATTTCTTCTTTTTTTTCTTCTTTTTTTTTGCCGATTAACTCTTCACTAAACCGCTGAGGATCAACTCACAACATGAATTGCAGAAGTGTGTATGGACTGCAAGTGAAATAACCACGCACACGGCTTGCAGGGAGCCGTCTCTGGAGCCCAATGGCATGGCAGTGCAGCTAGAACGGCAACCCCCTGTGCTGCACGCTCTGTTTGCCCCTGGCTCTGCCTTGCTGTCCGTTCGACGGGAGTCCCAGCAGAGGATATACCTGGTTCGGGTGAGTTGTCTGCACGTCACCGACGCCTTGACTGTCTCATGTGAAAGTGCTTTGTTTCAAAATCTAGCACAACATGTTGAATTTTGAAAGGTCATTAAAGGACACTAAAATGAAGCAATAGATCAGTTTAGTCTGGTAAGTTATGCTCGGAGAAATCTGCTGTCATTAATTTCACCATTGTAACTGAAGACAGAGCTGAGGCGTGCCTTATTTTCCAAGGCCTCGCAGGTTAACCCCACTTTCTTGTGTTTGTGTGCAAGAGACATGCATTGCTCTGTCACAATAAGTGCTGGCAGGAACGAGGCGTTACAGGCGTAGTGGCTCGCCGCCTTTCGCGTTCAAACTTTTCTCGTTGTTCGCTCTATCATTATGACAACTGAGATGCTTCACAACACAGGAACAGGGGGCAAAAGCTGCACTAAAGAAATAGTATGTTCTGACTAGGCTTGTGTAAGTAGTGAAATTTGGGTTCAAAGTGAATTTGAAGCAAATGGTATATATAGCATATTGTAAAGAGAAATGGGCATATTTATTTACGATCTAAGTAACCTGCACAAATAAGAAAAAATGAAACAAGGCTTGTGCAAATGTCCTTTTTTTATGTTCAAGGGAAGTGGAAGCAACTTTGAATACCAGTAGGATTTGACTGCTAGCAGAATGCCAGTGGTAACCTGTAAAATATGTGGCATTTTAAAGTTTGTAGAGCATATAAGCCAGTACAACAAGCTTTTAAGCTTTAGTAATGATGAATCGATCTGAGGGTGACATGTTGATATAACTTTAAAGTGGGGCATCGTGGCAGTGCGGATTTCCCTTGGATATGCGTTTTCATGGCTTAGCAGTTCTCTACTGCAGTGAAATTACCTTTACAGGCGGTTACATAAAAACTCTGATACTTCGGTGCTTTCGTGGCGTAGTGCCCGTGAAATTTCTGCAGTGAAACCACATTACAAGGGGATACATTCGAACCAAAATACATATATTCGTTCATTTCAAATTCTTTGAAATTTTAAGTAATTTAAATTCGTATTGAAGTGAATTCGAACACTTTAATGTCTGTTCGAATACCCACACAAGCCTAGTATTGACAAAATGGGTATCGAAGGTGTCGCGGGGGCAATGATCAGCTATCGCTAAAACAGGAAATCGGCGCGCAACTTATGTCCAGCAAGAGGCAGAGGTGTCAGACTTTAACGTGCATTTATTTAATAAGAATACATTTCTTCCGGTGAACACGAGCACTCTCGAATTGCAGGTGGACACTGTGGTGTACGCTCTGGTGCGGCCAGTCGGCGGGGAGCCTTGGGGTGCTTCTGACGTGCCCGTGTCTCTACCCGTCGGTCTTGAGCTAGTGGTCGAGGTGCTCCTGTACAACAGTCTCGGCCAACGCTTCCATGCCACCAACCTTAGCATTGAAGCCCACAGCTCCCGGTGAGTGAGTGGCCTCCCTTGCACCTACGAGGCAATTTCAAAGACTCTTTGGTCTTGAGCAGCCAGTTTCACACTCGACGTATTGGGTTGTTTGTATTTGCAGGGAGGAAATATATCTAAACTTTCTACCATATCTGGGTTTAATTATATGCAGTGGACACGTTATAAGGGGGGAGGTGGCTTTCGTTAACAACTTTATTTCTAAGTCTGGTAAGCTCATTAGTTCTGAATGTTTAAGGAATGAAGTTGTAACTGTTTTTACTAGGAATAATTTCGATTAATGATAATGTTTGACCCTAGAAAGCAGCTCCAAAACCGTGTGTTGCTCTAAAACACCTTTTGGTGCTCCAAACTTGCTCCGAAACTTCTCTTTTACTGCGCCAAAGAGTCTCCCAAACAGCATTATTCCTTCTCTTGGAGCTGCTCGAAAACGTTGAAGTCCACTTCCACTCCTGCCTTTTACACTTAACTATCACTTTGGGCATGCAGGAGTGACCTCATATTGGTGGAGCAGCAAGGTGATGGCAGTGGACACTGGAGGCTGCGCGTGCGCGGTGCCGGCTCGGCACTGGTCCAGTGGTCTATAGGGGGCGGGGGCAGCGACATCGAAGTCCTGCTGCCCCTCTCATCGAGGGTGATGGACACGGTGACGTCGTTGCTCGTGGGAGAGCGCTTTTGGCTGCAGGCGCCATTCACTGCCGGTCAATGGGTCGCCGAGCAGGGCCCCCTGCGGATTGTGTCTGCCTCGCCTGGATGCGCGCTGGCCCACATGACCATGCCTGGCGGACGCGGTCTTGCGCTGTGGACGGGTTCACCCCAAGGGCAACTTCGACGCTTTGTGGAAGCCCAGCTGCCCACCACCGTGCATCTGGAGGTCCCCAACCTCGAGGACGAGGGTTTACCTGTGCTGCTGCCGGCTGGCCAGGAGCGCACTCTGTTTGTGAAGTTTGACAGGCGTACCTCAAGTGTTTATGGTTGGCTTCTATTTTTGTTCCTAGAACCAATATTGGTGTATTCTTGTCTATTCTCCTGTGCAGATTTGATTGTAGAGTATGAACACTGGAAAGAAAAAAAGAATTTTCTTGTGTTTGTATACTAGCTTGTGTTTGTATACTGCGATAATTGTCGAAAGAGCCAGAAAACGGAGTCGGCTAGGGTTTACATCAAATTTTATTAGGCTTGTGCGAATTTTTGAATGCTTCGAATATTGGAATGAATATTTCTGTATTTGAATTTGCTTTAAGTCATATTTAAACTGTTGAAAATTTCAGTGTTCAAAGGAACGAATAAGTGTATATTAATCTGCATGTAACCTACTGTGAATATGGTTTTACTGCAATGGAGTGCTAAGCCATGAAAAGATCCTTTCTGAAAAAGTTTGCACTATCGCGAAGTGCCATTTTAAAGTAAAAAGAACAAAGTATGCTGAAATCAATTCATCATTTTTTAAGTTTAAAAGCTTGTTATACTGTACCAGCTTTTATGCTTAGAGTATTGTAAATTTCAAAACGTAACATAGTACTTTACAGGTTATCAGTAGAATTTTACTGAAAGGCAAATCTTGCTACTATTGAAAGTCGTTTTCACTTCCTTTGAACAAAAAAGAATTTGCACGGGCCTTGTTTCAATTTAAAAATATATATAGTGTGCAGGCTAGTTCGATCATTACAAATATGCACTAGTTTTTTTGCACTAGAATATGCACTAGAATTTGGTTCCAAGTTATTAGACCAAAATTACCATTAGCACAAGCCTATACTTTATCAATAAAGATTTGTAGCATTTTGTTCCGTGGAATTCAGACTTCACATGGCAACTTTCTGCATATTTTGTTTAGGTAATGCTGCTGAAATACCAAAAAAAAAAAAACATCGGGTGGAGTGATGTCTTAGCTACATTCAGGTGCACGAGTTTCGATGCAGAATTATAAAGAGAAACTTTGACCTTCAATTTCTTTTTCAATAACTATATTGTGATTGAAAAATTAATGAGAATTATGTTCTTGAAAAACAGTCATGTGCAATAGCAACTCATGGAAGACGATCAGCATGCAGACGTTACCTCTAGGCCACAAAGGTAGAAATATTTAGAAGATGAAACTACCATTAGAATGGGAGTCCGCAAGCATCCAGATAATGTCACGTAAAATATAAAAATAGCAAGCTCCGACAGAGGCGTTTCACTTGTGGCGTAAAGCCGCTGCTGCAAACAGAAGAAAAGAAAATGCTACCCGACTTTGCGCAGCCGAGCAAGCACGCGCGCTCACATGAATGTTCTCTTTAGCAGCATTTGGGAGCAGAAAAGAGCGGCGCTTGCTCCAGTGTGGAAGTAATTTTGTGTGTGTGCGTGCGTGCATGTGTGTGCATGTGTGTGTGTGTGTGTGTGTGTGTGTGCGTGTATGTGTTGCCTTCTCAGAAACTGCCTGATGTAACAGCTGAAGGTCAGCGTCTGTTAAAGCACTGTAATAGCACTCTGCGCACAGTATGCTCTACTTAGACATGGGTCATTTCATGCCGAATCATTCAGCATTTTCCCGACCATCACAAATATAGCTGAAAAATTTCCACACGTTTTGCTAAGTTCTAAACTTGTCCTGGTAGTTTATTTCCATTGCCAAAAATTTTCCTCCCTATTTGTTAGAGTGTGTAGTTGGGTGCCGACTGAGATAGAGAGCGTCAAACAACAATTTCAAACATCAATGACAATTTGTACTGCCTTGTAGTGCTGTTGCAGTGCCCCTGCCTCGTCAGGGAAGCCAATTGTGTTGTGTAAACGCAGGTGAGCCTTGCACCGCAAAGATCACCTTGGAGGACGAAGAAGAATACGATTCGCCATTCACCTGCCATGTACGCAACAAGGACGGCACAGAAGTTTCGTCATATCTGGTACAAGCCACAGCGGGATTCAGCTTGGCTTCTGGTCAGTGTTTTCTTCGGTTGGAGGGGGCTGCCTCTGTGTCCTCTGTCAGTCGACATTTCTTGCAAGAGTTTGCGCGCCATGATGCGCTTGTCATGCTCTTTTGGGAGTGTTGGCATGATACAGTAAATACAAATGCAAGGTAATTGTAGTCAAAATTTAACACAGCCCAGTGCTTTTACACTCAAACCTCAATACTATAATGAACTCGCATATAACGAAATATCGGTTGCAATGAAGTAAATGGAAAATAGTGTTGCAATAGATCAGTGTTAGGAATATACATGTACCTTCATAACTAATTTTCGTGTAAAATGCAACTTTGTCACAATGAGATTAGACTGTACAACTGACTGTGCTCGAAACCTTTAAAACAATGCGGCTCAGTTTTGCGAAAACTTTTGAGCCACGCAGGTGACCCGCCATGGGTTCATCGTGAGAGGATCGCAGCAGTGCGGCTCTCAGACTTTAGGGCATAACCACCTTAAGATTAACCTGGAGCCTGAACGTTTTTATTTTTTAAGATATCTGAACAAAGCTTTCAGGGCATGTTCACTATGCTAAAACTAGAAGAACAGCAAAGTTTCATGAAGCTGTGTTGTTTAGTTTCCGAGATATTTAGGTTGTTGGTGTGAGTGCTTGAGGAAGAGTCATGATAAATCCCAGGACATAGCAGAAAGCTGAAATTCATTGTGGTCATTTTTTGATAAATATCCCACGGTACTACAAAGCCGTTTTTTAAAACTTTCCCTCCAGAAAGCATTCGTGCAACTTTAAAATTGATGCACACTCAAACCTCTATTTAATTAAATCGGATATAATGAAATATTGGTTATAACGAAGTTACTGAAAAATGGTCGTGCAATAAATGTAGTGTTAGGAATAAACCTTTATAATGAATTTTCGTATATAGCGAACTTATTGTCGTATAAGGTCCGACTTTGTTATAAAGAGGTTTGAGTGTAGTTAGTAATTATCAGGTTCATTAAAAATAATTGCTTATGATAAATTAACGACACCAATGTTCAAGAAATGGAGCTCATTACACCCTGGCAACGTCATTCAGAAACAGAATTAAAAAAAAAGGCACCCAAATCTGATGAGCGGTCTTTGAGTTTTTGCATTCCTCAGCACCACAACTAGCAAAAAAATTCATTCTGAAAAAATGGGCCTGGTAAGTCAACGCTTGTATTTCCTTCAAAAAGGTTCAGCGCAATAGCTAGAAGCGTGCTGACACACTCAATTCTTATTTCGCCTCTCCTACATTTTCTTTTGGTGATTCGTTTATTTACATATTTGAGACATACTGCTTGCCCAGGTTAGGACCCAAGCACGAGGGGCATGGGAAATACAAATTATAATAACAAGAGGGAAACAACATGATAAGTACGGAACAAAAGACTGAAAACAATACAAAAGTTGGCATATAAACTAAGCATATACAAAGGGTAAAAAAGAGCGGTGCAGAAGATGCTGGTCAAGGCAAACGTAGCAGAGCAACCATGGTGTGAGCACGCGCTATCGGAGGGAGCCACCACCCCCGCTGCTGCGCAGCAGCCAATGACGGACACGTTTTCTCCCGCGAGATATAAAAGCCTTGCTCTAGTTAATCAGCACTCTACATTGTTTCGCGGGAAAACGCCAACCTCGTCTCGACTGTGCCGCCGACGCCGTTTTGCAAGACTGCAAATGAGAGAGAAAGAATTCACATTCAAAATGACACCTAGGTTGCGTGGGTCGGTCGCATGGTCTGGAAATGGTGCGCGCGCAATGTTTGGTTGATTTCTGCATTTTTCGCACATTTTGGACACTGCCGCAGCCTCAGAAATAGCATTTATTTTTCTCTTTATGTTCGAGCCAGGTACTGATAATCACACAATACATGGTTTATTAGAAATACAGAACAAAAATATGGTTTTTTAAAAGCTGATTTTTTTATGATTTGTAAGGGCCTTAAGGGGGGACATGGGACCCGATAGTAAAATATATTAGTATTAGGCCTACAGACATGATTTTTTCGTGGAATATTCAGCTTTGTACACTGATTGAATATGTAATTAGGTACATTTTCTTTACATCAATCCAAAAAAAAAGTTGCAGCTATACTTATTTTATGAATTTGGGATGTGACTTGCATAAAAAGCAATGTAAGCAATGTATCAAAAGAGCTATAATTGAAACTGTATATTGCTGAATATTCAAATAGTGCAAATATGCAATTTGATGCTGGCATCTAAATTTATACAAAGTTATAAAGTTTTTATGTTGTAGTCTCATAGCTCTGAATTTTCACTGTTGATTTCTGGAATATTTCAAAATTTTACAATGTCCTTAAACATTTCATCAAAGTTTTCTTGCACAATCTAATTTCCTAGCATTCAAACAAAAAAAAAACATCGAGGAAATTGAATCAATATTGGCGACACAGTGCTCATCCCCAAAATTCAGAACATGCAAAAATCTGTATTTGAAAAAAACTCAAAAAAACCGAAAGAGTTGGGAAAATGAAAATTTCATGCATGAAAGCCACAAAACTTGTATTTACAATCACTCAGAAATCCCCTGCGGAGTAGTCTGAAGCAGGCTTTTGCTTGTACTTCTTCTTTGCGGCTCCCTGGAACGCCACTGAAGATGCGCGTTTCCTCTTCGAGCCAATGGCACGGCGAAAGTCTTTCTCAACTGCCCGCTGGTTACCTGCGTATGTTTAATCTAGATGCATTTCATGCAAAATAAGCGAACTAGATTCCTTGTTCCCTAAGTTGAAATGCATAAGAGCATCTGCCATGGCAGTCTCAACGTCAAACAATGACGCGTTTTTGTCCTTCGGTGAGAGGCTCCAAATGACCGAATGCAAGGCCTCATTCGCATTCTGCGTCTTCCTTCTGGTGCATCTCTGCAGGAGCTTCTTGTCAGACAAGCGTTCACAAACAGGACGCAGTGCATTGCTCACAGCCTCTGACAAATCGTACTTGCTTTTTGGGATAGGCTCATTCCTTGCCATGGCTGCATTATGCTTGCACCAAGACTCGGGGCCGTGTGGACAGAAGCTGTGCTTTGATTTCTCGTCAGTGGATGTCACATGATGATACGTAGCCCACACAGCCTTGTGCATCTCATCCACATTCCCTGAATGGAATTTCAAAGCCCAGTCATAATAACTCGTCAATTTTGTGATGAGGTCACCCGTTAGGCGGCTCTTGCCACTGATGCGCTCGCTGCTGTCCCCTTTGTGCTTCTGCACGAAATTCTGAACCGCAGTCCTCATGTGGTTTTGCACATGGTTCGAGCAGTCTCCTTTTCCAACATTTATGAAGCCGTACACCTTACCTTCTTCGACAGCACTGTATGACCGGCTGTCACCATCACAAAGCATGGTGGTGTACCTGAGGCCATAAAGCGAAAGGGAGCGTTGAAATAAAATCATTGCTGCCTCTACTTCCATTTAGCCAGCCTTGCATGAGGTATTTTTCTGGCATGAATGTTTGGCTTTCCATTCAGAGTATTCCGGGCTCTCAAGTTTTGGACCACATTCACAGCCGAGGCAAAAATTAGGAAGCACAACATAGTCTAGCACATAACCTGAAAAAACTTCTATCACAGTAGCTATTCCAATGTGAGAGGTGTGTCCTCTTGTGTGCCTGCTTCCATCAAAAAAGACGGCAATATTTCCGGGGTTGCCAAAATTGAGGTCCTTGTAGAGGAGCTTTACCACTGTGGCAGACTTAGTCAAATGTTCGGTGCAAGCTCTCGTTGCTGCTAACGGAAGCTTATGTTCAAGTACTCTTGGTATGTTTTCGTGTGAAGGCCCCGATGTAAAACACCGATAGCGGCAAAGATGTCATTCAGAGCTGCCTGACCATTCCCAGTGCTCTGAACTGCACGCGCAGTGAGAACGTTGATTTCGAACGGGTTGCAGTTACTGCTGCCACCACCCCGTCGCGAGCTCCATTTCGAACCAACTTCTCCGCAGTGGCTGCAGTGAAGCTTCAGCTTAATTAATGGCTATGCCGTACTCACACGCGTTGTGTTCGATGGTCATCTGACCACGGCACACTTGGCAAGCAGAATGTTCGTTTAGTAAACTGTTCACCATGTCGAGGTCAATCATGGTATACGTCGGGGCTGACGAACTTTCGGTGCCGCGCTGACTCGCGAGAACATTAATTTTGCGATTGGTTGCCGAGACTGAGGAAAGTTCCGCTGCTTTTTGTTGGGTACGACGCTCGATGAGTTTTCGGTCAGCCGTTGTCAAAAATGTTGCGTCTATCCTTGCAGCTCGATCGTGCATACTTGAAGTACTGCAGGCAGTGGTCGCAGTTGCTGCCACACTTTCTCCGGCTGCGAGATCTGCTGCAGCAGCATTCTGTGCTGTCCTAATCACAAGCGACGGCGTTGTTTCCGGGCGCCTTCTTGAAGTATTACCGCAATCAGCTGATTTTGACGGCACCGTGGTCTCCGTCGCGATCGCTTGTGTTGCAACGCCGCTTCGTCGCGGAATCTCGCGCTCTTTCGCCGAGATTTGCAGATATCTTCGTCGGCAGTTGTGATGATTTATGGCACTCTGAGCGCATGTCGCCTCTGGTAGAAGTAGCGATCGAAGGCTGCCTTTGTGTCGGGCTGCTGCATCGCGCGACTGCCGGTCTCCTGTACGCTCGGCTCTGTTGACGTAGCCTGCGCTGGCTGCGATGACTCCTTGGGCTGCACAGCAAATTTTTTTTGTCGCTTGCCGAATTTGTAAAGTGTGCGGAACTTTCGAGCACGGTTTGGCGTTTGGATTTCGATCGCAAAACTACAAAGCTTCCGAAATGGCGGTGACATTGTGCATGTTTGCGGCCACGCGCGCATGATCACGAGTGTTGTCAGTCCCCGCGCTCCAGTCACAAGCCGCTGTTCACTCACGTGACTGCTATGGACCAATGATACTGCACGGTTTTGTGGCTTGTTTTTGCCTGGTAGATCAGACTGGCTGCAGCATTATATGAAGGTTCGTTCCTGGCGAGAAA